CCACGCTCGGTTCACGTGCTGCGTACGACATTATAAACTACCTATATATGAATATCTGAATTGTAAACTAAACCCTCAGTCCTAAGGATTCAACTGAAAATAATTGACATGCGCTAGAACCACCTATTAAAAGTTTCTATACATTTGTTTAAAAAAAAAATTCTTCCTGCCGGGGACAATTTTCCGAGAAAAATTGAAGACACACTTGGAAAATCTAAGGCAAGCGTCTGGAGAAATTTAAGCACAGGTAGGGTCCCCCAAATTTCTTAATAGAATCCTTGCTGTGTAGCCTTAGTTTACGATTCATATTTTTTTTCAAAACAGCCGTTTTACGAAAATTATTCGACATAAGATTCTCATGAAACACTGCTGTTTCTCCCACGGTTGCCTACCCGATAAAACGGCTTTCAAAACCGTGACAAGGTCTATAAGTATGATAATCATAATGGCTGTACAAAATTTCAATATCGACAAGTCTATGGTTACCTGTAATCTGCTGACCGATTGTAGATCGATCTCTGTGAAAAAAAAAGAAAAGAAAAACAGCCTGATAGTACTCGTTTTTGTCATCTTATTCTTTGATAGAGCTCTCGGCCGTTTTTTAGGGCATAACCTTTTTGATCCTATAAAATTTTATTAAATCATTTCTTTTTCACGATTTTGCTTTCTGATCTTATTTTGAGTAAAATTCTTATTTTCCAATAAATCTCTCACATTTTTCAAAAGTTTACAACACCAAGAACAAAAATTAGCGAAGAGAGTTAAACACAACAGGCAAAATATTTGGACGAAGTCTAACTTAAGCTTCTTTGCATGGTAGGTGCTTAGATAAAATCGTTGGGCAAACTGAAAATGACTTAGAACGCGGTTTTGTTAAACACTGGCTAAAGTACGTTTAAATATTGGGCCCAATGATTCGATGTCGCCATGACAACAGTATTGAGTGACAAGATAAAACAACTAAAATCGGACTAAATATATACGATTTAAAGTGGCAAAAATTAAACTAGAGAACAAAAGTAAATGTTCGCACTTTTAAATGAAAATTAAAATATGTTAGACAAACAGTTTTTCCCCGACGGAATCTATTTTGGCACTTCTGAGTTAGGCGAAGTTGGTACTAAACTGGGGTAGCAATGGAAAATAAGACTGTCTGATTTACAAAATGCTTTTCATTAAAGAGATTTTGTTGAGCATATTATCACGAAACTTCATGTGAGATAAAAGACAACAACAAGTAATTCATACAAACACAGTAATTTTTCTAGGATTCACACTGTGGTACTATCACAGAGCCCGGGTGATATGACGAATTAAGCAGATCGAGCTCTTCATAACTCTACATATCTTGAATAAAACGGACACAATCGAAGACTTTCTTCAGATGATCTTCAAGATTATAATTCAAACCCTTGAGACTAGCAATACATCAGCTTCTCAATCAGAAATAACATCATAACAATCAGAGATAACATCAGAGATAACGAGTAGTAGGGCTTCAGCAAACTTAACCCCGTTGGTGTCTTCCCCTGTCTTCCCTCGCAAAAAAGTGGATTCCCTTTATTAATAGGCATATGGGTCTAGTCTATGACGTCACCCATTGTTATAACCTAGGGAAAAAATGCGTTCCTTCATATTAATTAAGTGCCTAGTCACTGCCTTCCCGCATACTAATTTGGATTTCCTGCATACTAATTAAGTGCCTTCCTCCATATATAATGAAGTGGATAGGTTTACTAATGAGCATCACTCTAATACAATAGGAACAATAGGCCGGCCCAAACTTGCCCGGGATCTTTTAACCCTGATTGGATAGTGAACAATCTATTATGTGTTCAACATAAAAGCGCGCTCTCCGTTCAGCATTTTATTCTTGCAATCGCTTTGCTAAGGAAAAAGTCCTATTATCACCAATATTTTTTAAGATATTACTCCAAACATGCAAGTCGAATCGAGCGCTACACCGCTTCTGACAGTAGATGAAGTGGAAAAAGTCCAACGTCAACGGGTAGCTAGCCTTATCGGTCATGTGTTCCAACTGACTTATGCGGCTACGGTTGACAAACTCACCCGAGAACAAAAGCTGAATCGCTGCCACGGTTGTGCCATTCAACACCCAAGTCAAAACCAACATTCTTGCCTGATGATGGATAATGATGACGCATGGATGTATTACCATGATGAAGTGGTGGAACAAATTGACCTCAATGTTATCTTAAAAACGGCTGAAAGTGTGTGCAGTGCTCTTGGTTTCAAACTTGGCAAAACGTGGGAAGCGTACTTGACCGAATTACCAAAGCTGCCTTGGACTAACATCTATCTCACTTCCTTGGAACTCGAAGATTATGGTGAGTTAGAAGATCGAATTCTGTATGCTATTTACTACGGACCTTGTGGACTGAAGTGCAAAGATCCCAGTGCTGTGGAAATTGACAGCCAAGTTGAAGTGCAATGCCCTGAGAGAGTTGTGAGGAAAGATGAACAACCAATGGACCTTGACTTGATAATTAATGACATTCAAAATAAGCTTTGTTTCTAAAAGTAATAAAATTTGTTTATGTCTAAATTGTGAGTCAGTGTGTGTTTGTCTCTGTCTTAGTCACGATGGGGCTTTCTCTGTCTTTGCTTCGAGTCGACTTTTCTCTGTATCGCGCACAAGCCAAAACATTGAAAGTGTCTTCAAGTGAAATGGAAATGCTTCAACAAAAACTTAAAGATATGCCGGGTTCGAGTCTAGAAAAGTTGAAAAAACTCCACTCTGAGGTCTTTTCAAAGGTAAACTGGGGACGATTGGTGGTATTTTTGAACTTCGCGGATCAGCTAGAACTAACCGAGGAGGAATGGGAACTATTATTTAATTTTCTCGTGCCCACTCTTACCCAGATTCGAGAGTAGCTATATAAGTAAACACGAAGAAAAAAGAAATCATTCAGCTTTGAACCTTCATAGCAATCACTAGTAATGGGTTGCTGGCCATCTTCACCCTCTCTGGTATAAGAGCGCATTTTCAACCGCATTCGTTGCGTATTAGCCTGTTGCGGGGGTCAAGTTATTGTACAAAATTCCGAGTTCTGTGATGGAGAAAACACTGACCAGCATTTATCTCGACCCAAGTCAACCCGCAAGTTTCGGTGGTTTAGATGCTGTTTACAGAGCAGTCAAAGAGAAAGAAAAGAACAAGATATCGCGTAAACAAGTTCAAGATTGGTTGAGTCAGCAAGATGTTTATACTCTTCACAAGCCCGCGCGTAGACATTACAAAAGAAGTCGAGTCATCGTTCCCGGTATTGATGCACAATTTCAAGCAGATCTGGTCGACGTTCAAAATCTCAGCCGATACAACAAGGGATATAAATACCTACTGACGTGTATAGATATCTTCAGCAAGTACGCTTTTGTGTTACCTTTGAAGACAAAACAAGGTCAAGAACTGGTCCAAGCCTTTCAAAAGATCCTTTCTACTGGTCGCAAACCTACTAAACTGCAGACGGATCAAGGAACAGAGTTTCTAAATCTCGTGTTCCAGAAATTGCTGCGTGACAACAACATTGACTTTTTTACTGTTAACTCTGGGCTCAAAGCCTCAGTGGTTGAGCGTTTTAACCGAACATTTAAGAATAAGATGTACAAATATTTCACGGCCAAAAACACTCTCACCTATATCAATGTATTACCCCAGTTAGTATCTTCTTACAATAACACCTACCACCGAAGTATTAAAATGAAACCAAGTCAGGTAACTAAAAAGAACGAAGCTCAAGTGTGGGATACTTTGTATGGGGATGATGTTCAAAAGCCTGTGCGATATAAATTTCAAGTGGGAGATCGCGTGAGGATCAGCAAAGTAAAGAGAACGTTTGAAAAATCGTACTTACCTAATTTCACGGAAGAAATTTTTACTGTTTACAAGCGAATGGCTCGTCAAGTCCCCGTTTATAAACTAAAAGATGATGCCGGTGAAATCTTAGATGGCACATTTTATGAGCCTGAATTGCAGAAAATTATTAAGAAAAAAAAAATTATTAAGAGAAAGCGTAAAGGAGTAGTAGAGTATCTTGTGAGATGGAAAGGATACGAAGACCCAAAATTTGATTCCTGGGTTCAAGAAAGTGATATTTTGAAGTTGTAATTTATGCGTTTTTTATTTAGTGAATAAAAGAAAGGGAAATAATAAAATGAATGGTTTGTGGTTTCTAATAAATTAAGAATACCCAGATTAAAAAGTTCATTTGAACACACGAAACGATGGAGGTAACACAGTTTTATCTGCACCTCCCTAGCAATAGCAGCCTCGATAAATTTCCTCATAACACATTAACAGAGTACCGAGCTAGTTTACCACAAACCCTAAACCTTACAGGCGAATGGGAAGTGGCTTTGACCGAGATCCATTATCCGCATAGCTGGAATAATATTCAACGGTTTCGATTTTACGTTCGAAATGAAAAACTCCACGGTGTTTGGGACTCCTTGGAGATGCTTTCGGGTCATTATTCTTCCATTGAAGATATCTTATCAAAGATGAAAGAGTTAGTGGACAATGAAAATCGGTATACAGATGATGTGCGGTTTTCATACGATAATCTCAGCAGAAAGGTTACGGTTCATTTGAAAAACAACGCAGAAGTCTCGTTAAATGATATGGCCTATATGCTGAGGTTCACTCCCGAAAAAACTATTTCAAAGACCACCACGGGCGACAGACAAGTGGATTTGGAATATGGTTTTCACGATCTTTTCGTTTACTGTGATCTTATTCAGTCACAATATGTTGGTGATGCACTGGTCCCTTTGCTTCGAATTGTTCCTGTAGAAGGAGAGGTCGGTCAGCGAGTCAGTAAATCGTTTGTGCGTCCTCAATATTTACCTGTCAGCAGAAAGCAATTTGAAACCATCGAAGTCAATATAAAGCGAGACACAGGGGAATCTGTGCCATTTGAGTTTGGAAGAGTGTTGTTAACACTTCATTTTCGTCAGAGTCAACCTCAGTACTTTTAAAAATGAAAAAACTCCACGCCCCAAATCATAAGTTTTACGAACAGTACTATGTAGATCAAGCCAAGCAAAAAGGTGGAAATTTACCCGCATTTCACGGAGCTCGATTTCAGCGAGGTTATGGCTTAGGATCCATATTTAAAGGTCTGTTCCGCTGGGCGATACCTCACCTGCAGCAAGGTGCTAAGGTGATTGGAAAAAAAGCTTTACAAACGGGTGTCAATGTTGCCCAAGATGTGCTTGGCGGAGATAACATTAAAACAGCAATCAGCAAACAGGCTAAACAAGCTATAGGTAACATGACGTCCCAGAAGTCACAGCAAGGACAGTCAGGTGCAGGCAAAAAAGCTATAAAAAGGAAAGCGCAAGGCTCAACAATCAGTTCGCCTCCAGGAAAGAAAGCAAAAACATCTCCACAGCAGAAGAAATCGAAAACCATTTTGATAAAGAATAGAATGGCCTTCGTTCATCACGAGTCTCGCGAGTGTACTAAATCAGAGCTGGATCTTTTTACTATTCCTGCTACACAAACCTCTATTCACAAAGGGCAATGGATTGAATATCATCCTCTCAGCAACATCACGGACACTGGTCCTATTGAATTTAACGTATCTGGAACCGGAGAAGAATATTTAGATTTAGCGCGAACACAACTTTATGTGAAAGCTAAGATCACAAAAGCAAACGGAACTGCGTTAGATGCCGATACACAAGTGGGTCCCGTGAACCTGTTTCTACATTCCCTGTTTTCACAAGTAGACGTTTCGTTGAATGAGCGATTGATCTCTCCATCCACTAATACTTACCCTTATCGTGCCATGATCGAGTCTTTGCTGAACTACGGAGAAGAAGCTAAAACAAGTCAACTTTCTATGGCTATGTTTTACAAAGATACTGCTGGAAAGATGAATGTAGTGAACCCCTTGGCTGCAGACGATGAAGCAAACCTTGGATTAAAGGCTCGCTATGAGTTTACCAAAGAGAGTCATACGGTGGATATGATGGGACCCATTCACAGTGATATATTCTTTCAAGATCGGTTGATGCTCAATGGAGTGAATTTAAGAATCAAACTGAACCGAGCCAAGAATGTGTTTTGTCATGTGTCCTCAGCAGCCGCAGCTAATTTCAAAGTGGTTATCACAGAAGCCATCTTGTTTGTACGCAGAGTCAAGGTTGCCTCATTCGCAGAATCGACTGTAAAGTACTCTCTATTCCAAGAGGATTTAGCGGTTTTAACCCTGACAACATCTTTTTGGGTCAAATTCCCAAGCGCATAGTATTGGGATTAGTAGACACAGAGGCTTACAATGGGAGTTACCGTACCAACCCCTTCAACTTCAATCACTACAATTTGACTCAAGTGGGTGTGTACGTGGACGCAGAACAAATCCCCCGAAAACCTTTGTTCTTGAAGTTTGACGCCGCTGATGGTCGAAATGTGATAGCCGGCTATCAAAGTCTTTTCCCTGGTACTGGAAAGCTTTCCCAGGATACGGGCAATCAGATAAATAGAAGTGATTATGGCTCTGGTTACACCTTATTCGCTTTTGATTTGACCCCAGATCACTGCCCAGGAGATCATTTTGAGCTTATAAAACAAGGAAATCTACGCTTGGAGCTTCATTTCTCGGAAGCACTCGCCAACACTGTTAATCTTATCGTCTACGCTGAATTTCAAAACGTGATTGAGGTCGACGCAAACAGAAACGTTCTCTACGACTACACAAACTAGAAATGGACACCATTCAACTGATCCTTATTTTGAGAAAGGATAAATTTACACGAGGTGTGTTTCAAGGCGTGTATCCCTCAGACAAGCTGCCTGCAAGTGTTTCGCAATATCCAGCCCTATACATTGCCAATGTGGATACGAGTGACAAGCCAGGTTCGCATTGGGTGGCGTTTTATTTCACCAAGGAGCAAGAGGGAGAATTTTTCGATTCTTACGGAGCACCTCCCAGCAAATATTCGGGAACATTTACTACCTTTTTAAACAACAATTCTAACCAGTGGATTTTTAATACTGTGACATTACAGAGCATCTATTCCAAAGTCTGCGGACATTACTGTTTGTATTTTGCTTTATATCGTAGTCGGCAAATAAGTATGAGTACAATTGTGCATCGTTTTTCTAAGAACACACGTAAAAATGATAGTCTTGTCAAGCGATTTATTGAAAAACATTTTCCTATAAGTCTTACGAAATATCGCACTGATGTAAACAAGCAAAGAGCACAAGCACAGCACAAAGTTCAATAAATAAACACCTTGTACTTTCTTTTCAACATCTTTTATTGAGTGAACAAAATAAAGAGATGATTTACAATGATAATAATAATGTCTCTTGTGGTGATTTTATAACCGTAACCAGCGCACAGCCTCAGGGTGTGGACTCGCATTTCTTCGCCGCTGTTTTTTCACGGGGGATAACGTCACAGGTGGGCTAGGTAGCCAACGGGAAGGACTGTTAGGGGTTTCGTTTCCTTTGCGGTGGCGCAATGTGTCGTTGACTAGGTCCACCAGATGAGAACCTGGAATGGGTTTGGTTTCATACAAAAGCTCTCCTTTATCATTCCAATGCAATACATCTTGATGCTCTTTAATTTTATCCAACATTTGTCTAGCCCCGGCTTTGTAAATTTTGGGTACACTTCTCATGACCTCTGCCTCTACGGCTGATGAAGTGAATTTTTCCGGGACAGGTTCTTCCGAAGGTTGTTCATTTTCTTCTGGTTTAGGTGTTTCTACTGCTTTGGGGGTTGATATTTTCACATGAAGAGGTTGACCTTTTCGCTGATCGTAATAAGTCAAGTACCGCTGCAACACTTGATTGTAAAGCCTAGCTTTTTGTTCATCATCAAGTTCTTTACTGGATAAAATATCGGTCATTTCACTATCCAAGTTTCTCAGAGTTTGTGTGACGGGTGGGGTTAAAATCTGCTGGCGCTGCTGTAATCTTTCCAAGGTGTTCTCGGGCACGAGAACCATACGCTTTGTGTGATTCATTTTAGGTAAGAATCGAACTCAACACACGGAGAACGGGAGGTAGCAAAACACTTAAAAAATTTCCTCCGTGTTGTACCAACAATTTCTTTTTCTTATCGAGTGGTGTACTTTTTTCGGCTAAAGCGATCAAAGATTTCTTGTGAGGTAAAAGTTTTTTCTTGGCTGGCTTACTGACAGGCACTGTTCCTTTAAGCACGTTTAAAACACACTCACAAATGTTTCTTACTAAAGCGTCGTCTGCCACCTTCAAAATGGCTTTACGCTGAGCTGGTGTAGACTTGACAAGCAGTTTCAGAAAATCGTGGTTCTTTCTAAGTCGCTGTGCCATCCTCAACTGAAGAAATTTGATGTGATTCACGCTTTTTATACTTTTCTGACGTAAGCGTACTGAGTCTCCCCGGGGAAAATATTCGTACGCAGCCGGAAGTCGGTAGGTGTTTCCGGTTTAAGATCACAAAATAGATATCCATAGGGCCTTTTTGTTGCATCCTCAAACGCTTCTTGCATGTATTTCCCATGACCAGGAAACATTTGTCTTGCTAAATGATTGACTTGACTGCTATCACGCGGGCTTTTGAACACTACTAAGTAATGAGAATTCAAACTCATATCTCTCAGTTCTTTTCCACGATGAAAAAAAATGTTTTGGAGAATAAAGATCACGCTGAGATTGCGATGGTGACAGCCTTTGGTAAACAAATTAGTCATTCGCTGATCATTGCTAAGCTCGTGCATTAAGTCATCAATGACGACTAAATTCCGAATAGAGGGATTAATTAGGGTTTCCAGATCACCAGGCACTCCTTCAACAAACATAATGTTCGGAATAGTTTTAAGCATCTCATCGTAGGCTGGTTGATACATGCTATAACACCAGATGATATTTTCCGGGGCACCATCAATCATGTCTTCTCCTGCTTCTAGTAAACGTTTTACAAACTGACTTTTCCCACAACATGTTGGGCCGGCCACAAGCGCGGGGAAAGGATGTTTCCATCTCGGGTCCATGATCACAACTGATTAACTGATTTGTGCGTACTCTCATTTATAGAAAAAAATTGTTTTGGGTTCAGCTTCTTTGTCATACACACGAATCGCATTGGTATTTTGTAGTTTAGCAAATTGAAGCCAATATTTTCTTTCTATCTCCGATAACTCGTGTACTTGAGTTAAATGATTTGCTAATCGAACTAAGAATTTAGAACGACATCCCGGTATGGGGCAGTGTTTACATTTTAGTTTCTTCATGCTGACAGGACGAATGTTAGATACCAACTGAGTAAAACTATTTGCGACACGAAATTTATTGTTGATTTTCAAGGGCAGATCGGGCAGAAAGGGCAGAAAGGGCATCTTTTTAGCCCTGTGTTTTTTCCCCTGGGCGCGCGTGGAGATCTCGCGTGTAAGTCGTGCGCGTCGAGTCAGGAAACAAGCCACGATTAAATTCAACCAATGATTTATTTACAAACTAATTTGCTATGTACAAACACCCGTGAAAAGCTACGCAAATATACTATTTACAATTAGAAGCAATCTTATGTAAATATTTCTGAAAACTATTTTTGAGAGTAATATAATACAAACTTGAGAAAACGAAAATTATTGACAAAATCCATTTTTTACAAACTTGAACACTTTAAATGTCGAGTGGAGTGGTGCTAACTCCATCAGCCAAAACTTTACGTTTCGGGTAAAAATACGAAAAGGCATCTCTGACCTGGGTATAAGTGTACATAGTATTATTTACAACTCTGAACCCTCGATTCACCCCAGCACTATTTTGTTTTGTAAGTAAGACATTAAGGTATTTATCTTTGTTAATGTCATTGCATTTCTTATTGACTCCTTTGCAAGAAAACTTATCTTTGGCCCCAAAACAGTAGTAGGTTTTTGAACACAACCCGATAATTCCTTGTCCCTCCCACTCAACCTTAAAAAGACCCGGGGTTCGCTTATCATAGGCTTTATGCTCGGGTGTATCCGTACGGGGAAACCAGTTGCATATATCGGCTTCGAACTCTGCTTTCAATTCTGGTTTGACTAAACTTTCCACACTCTCCCCAGCAATAGCGATATACGCTGAATCCGTATCCATTTCACACATTTGAAAATCGCTGCGATCGAGATACTTGTCTAGAAAATCATAATAAAACTGCAGCATGCGTAACTTAGCATACTGATACACAAAAAACCCGACTTGAATAGGTAAGTTTAACTTAATAGTTTTCTTACCAGACTCTACTTCATAATTATCTTCTGTGATATTATCCAGTTTCCGGAACAGTGGGGTGTTGACTTTTCGGCTGGCCTCTGCGTCACTGCAATACTCCACGTTTCTGTGTTTCAGTTGGTTAGTGATCGTCTTACCATAGCCTGAATTACCCACCTGAGAGGTAGACAAAGATATAAGTTTTTTCTATTCGTGAAAATGTATATTGTTCCCACCCCTTTATGAATGAAAGAATGAAACAAAAACTTACCAGTTTCATGGTATCTGCAATGATGGCTTTACTGGGGTCCGCATCTCCGGCTCTCCTCGCGTCTGACACCGCATCCCCAAACGGTTTGAAGCAGGGTTGAGGGGTGAACTCGATCACTTGGTGCACTTTCGTGACCTCTAAACCATGTTCCAGGTACCACTTGAGGAGGGGTGTGGCCAGCAGGATCTTTTCTCCTTTCATGCTCCCAATCAAACTGCGACGGGGTTGAGCCATGATGCTGTGCTCCTCGGCGTACGCTTTCATAAATTCACCAATATCATCGCGGCTGATTTCTGTGTTCTTGAAGATCGGGCACATTTCACTAAACTTTTCCTTTAAGTGATCTGGTACACGAATATCTACTTCCACGCACCCGAACAAACGCTCATGTCGCACCTCGCTCAATATTCGCTCGGGACTCATGATCTTGACTTGATCCAGGGTTCTTCTCACTTCGGTGGCAATAAAACGCCGTAGTTCTCGGTCGGTTCTCTTCATTTCTCTCCACTGACATTCATACATTTCCACCACGTTGTACCCTTTGCTGCGGATATACTCCGTGTTGGCTCTCGTTTCTTCTCTGATCTCAGCCATAGGTTTCTTGCGTTTCTCGTTAAACTCTTTCCCTCGGTTGAGAGCACAGTCATGGCCGTGCCAATAACAGCCGTGAAACTGGTACGCAGTTTGCGTCTGCGCGTTGAAACCGTCTACAGGCAGTTTACGACCACCGATGCGCTTTTCTGTATCGTTTAACTGATGTCGGATGTGAATTCCCTCTTTGTGCGCCACCCATTCCAACCATTCAATAGCCATGCGTACAGAACTTTTCGGTTTGAACTCATTGTCCGCCAGGCGTCTCGTATAACTTCCCGTGGGCATATCTTGCATGAGCGCCCAGAGGTACAAAGCGTTCGCGTCATAACCCACGATCTTCTCACACAGCTTAGCAGCCTCGCCTTCCTCTGCTTCTCTGATCTTTGTTTTGCCGGCTTCATGATATCGGTGGAAAATAATACTTGGGTCGCCCGTGTTGTTGTCTTTGATCAGATGGTAGAGATCACTGTTCGCTTGATCGAAGAGACTGAAGTAAGTTTGAGGTGAAAGATAAGAGAAGAGGTACTTGAGGGTTAAACCAGGGACAGAAATGCCATCTTTAAACATATCGATCTTTCTCTCCTGCCAGAACTGACTCATTTTCTCTACTGCCTCGAGGAAAGGAACGACATCCAAATTATTGTACCAGATTAAGAACTCTTGAAAGGTGGACATTTCATTTTCTTCCCATACTTGCTGGCAGTACTCATATTCTTCTTCTGTAATGTTTTGGTTCTTCAGACTTGAGTAGAAAGCTTCATGCGAGGGCAGAGATGTTTCTTCGAGCTTGTCCAGGCTGTCGATCCACTCGTAAGGGAAGAAACCTTTGGTTTGCTCGCATTCATACGCTCTTAGAAACTGGTCATAGCTGAAACCCGGCGCGACATAGTTCGAAATGTCCAGAAATTTTAAGGAGTTTGTCTTGAGACACATATGGTTGCTGTTTCTTTTGACAGTGAACTTGATGGGTTGAGACTCAATGAGGTAGGGAAATACAAATTCTTTCACAGCGTTGAGATCGTACTTGCCAGAGTTGAAGCCTAGCACGGGCAGTTCTTGTAAGTATGCGTTCAGTTTTTCAGCTAGCTTTGTTAAGACTTTGTTGTCGCTAGTCTGCTCTTGACCAAACAACACATCTTCGTACTGGGCTAGCTCATCTCGCTGTTGTCTCCTCTCTTGTCTCCTTTCAGTATCCAACTCAACGTTCAGTCTTCTGTAAAACGAAGGGTCGTTTTCTGTTACCTCATCATTGAGAAACGCGCGATCTTCCTCATTCTCCGGTTCGATTTCTTCCTCGTCGTCATCGTCATCACTTGCCATCAAATCGATATCTCTTTCGTAGTCACTTAATTCTTCATCATTATCTTCCCCTTCTTCACTTTCAGCTTGCTGACTACCCTCCTGGATATCAACAAGTATTTGCGCTAATCGGTCTTCTGTTGAGTCATCGCGGTTAGGTACTTGCTTCAGTGCTTCAAACGCAGGTGCAAACTGTTCACGGAGAATAGAAGAACTTTTCAGGCTTATCTTGGTGAGGTACTGCATAAATTCTGTAATAAACACGTTTGGGTCGCCGTTAGACACAAAACATTTCGGTGCTTGGTAACCAGGCACGTTACTGCACACACTCACACTGAGGGGAACATGCGCCGATTCCCAGTTCAATTTTTCTGTGTTCTTGAGTTCTTGCGCTTTTTCCTTGTCAAAGTAACATTCAAAATCGTAGGTGGCGCGGTAAGGGAAGTACCGCCATTCTTCTGGTACGACAATACCTTCGTCTTCTAGTTGCTCAAACACTGTTTTAGGGACGTGATATGCTCCGCCAGGGTACTTCAGCTGGACTTTGCCGTCACAGGTTTTCTCATGTTGCCTTAAATTACTTTCGCGTTTCCAGTACTTGCCACATCTTGAACAGCAGAAGGATTTACTGTACCGGGCGAGATCTTTAATATACGAGAAATGGTTTTCGTACAAGTTCAAGTAGAGCGTGCTGGAGTAGTGGCGATGTGAGCGGCGAAGCAGGGTGGCGGCAATCTCGGGAGTATTTTCTTCATTGTCTTCGTCTTCACTGTGGCTCTGAGTAGGCGCGAGACTGTATACTTGAATATTCAGTTCATACAATTTTTCTAGGTAGTCTAGTTCACTTATCTTGACACCATGAAATTTCTTTTTAGCGAGACCAGCTTCTCGATACTGTTGGTAATAGTACTTGGTATCTCTTTCTAGGTTCTTAGTATGGCAACCATTGTGGAGAGCCAGACAGCGGAAGAAACACAGATTATCTTCGTACGGTTTACCGGTTTTCGCATTATTTTCCAGCGCGTCAAGACCGTAGTTGTCGGCGATATAACCTGGTAGATATTTGCCACGGCCGATCGGGTGGTCTCGAATCTTCCAAACAAACCAGGTAACATTCGTGATGAGATCCACCACCCATTTACTGTTAGGTCGCTGCTGTCGAACCCACTCAAGGAAATCGATCTCCGCTATCTGCTGATATAGGCCTCTAAATCGTCTGGACTTGAAATCAGGAACGGTTGTTCTAGCACCAAATGGTTGTTGGCGGATGGATGATGATACTGGAGGGCCCCAGTTTCTGTATTACGCAGAATAAAACCAAAGGAAAAGTTGACTTTGAAAACCGTGCTCTGGTCAGCAAAGATGTGGTTCAGTTGTTCGCGGAGGGAGGCAGGACTGATCGAAGACAGGCGGAAATTGTACCAGTCTTGTAAACGATTCTGGCGGCTAAAACGCGTACGGATCTGCGGCCAATGTTGCCGGTATGTTTGGGTGATGTTTTCTTCGCTAGCTGGAACAAGGTTGGCTGGAATGAGAATAGAATCAGGTTGCCAGCTAGCAGCGGCGTTTTCAGCACTTGCTCTGGAAGCTGGTTCTGAAGCGGTACTCGAACTTGCTTGGTCCGACCTCTTAGATCTTTTCGCGGACGGAGCATCTGTAGTTTTTTGAGCAGTGCGTTTTCTAGTTGCAGCGGCGGGTTGTTGATGAGCGGTGTGAATATGAGCGTTGTAAGGGGCGCGGTTGTGAAAGGTTTCGCCACAGGTTGCGCAAGTAAACCTCCGTTCGGCAGCTTGTTTGTCGTGCGCTTTCAGGTGACGATTGAGAGCCGACTTGTCAGCAAACTTCTTATCACAGCGGTTGCATTCGTACGGTTTCTCACCAGTATGGGTTCGCTGGTGAGTTATTAGATGATTTGGGCGAGAGAAGGCCTTGTCGCAGGTGTCACAACGATATTCTTTACGAGGCTTTTTGGCTGGTGGAGGGTGACCATCCCCGGATTGAATTTCCTATAATTAGTAAAAATGACCTAGTCTTAGTGTAAAGCTCAACTAACAAGAAACTCTGATAAACTCCATTTGTCTACAATGAGCGTCTCAACAACTGGGTAGATGGTTTGTTTTTGATGTTGAATCAACAGAATAAATTTAATTTTATGTGTCGATCCACGACATAATTGACTTTCAGAGATAAGCGCGCGGGTACTATTATAGTAACATATGTTAAACCGCTATAATCAACTGCTTAGTGGAAATAACTTAAATTGCTCTGATACCTGTTTGAGTATATATAATACGCTGTCTATTTTCTTCAACTCGGCTTGATGATTGAAGAATATTAGTACATTGAGCAAATGCTTTGTTTTGATTTTCAACAAAAGAATAGAATACATTTCAATATGGGTGCAATCATCCGCAAAAAAACGAATTCACTTATGTGATCAGTGGAAAGGGGAATCGATCAAGAATAAACTATTTACGCCTTCAAAATCATAAATAGTAAGCCAACTGTAACTTTTATATTCTCCCGACTCTTATAAACGATGGATTGAATGATATTGTCTTTTGGGGTGAGACTAAACAATTTAGTTTTTAAAAGGTATACATTTCAAAAACTTTAATAGGAACGTTTGCACTTCTACATGGGGTATTCTAAACACGTGAACATGAAAGATGACTTACGGTTTCCGACGGGTTCCAAGTCGGTAATTCACTGGTTTCGCCAGTCCACTGAAAATGAATAACAGAAATATACACATGAGTGATTGAACAATTAATAGCGCAAACTTAATTCCGTGAAAGAAAAATAATTTTATGATCATGAATGCTTACCTCATCAAAGAAATTATCCTGTGTATCTTGCGCTGATAACGGTGCCGACTCGTTGTTATTCTAGATAAGAAGAGAAGAAATCTGATTACTTTAGGTTTTCAAATCTCGCTCATTTTAAAGAAACAGGTGGGCATTGAACGAATAAGGAGATTCGTAATGTTGTTTCATCAGTAAACAAATCATTTACGTTGCCTATTAAAAAGGAAATGGAGTTACCTTGTCTAGCGCCATGCGTTCCATCTCATTGACGGTCTGCATTTCTTCAGTTGTAAACTGTAAAGCAAGGAAACATATTCGATGAGTATTATATGAAAATTGTCTACAAAAAGTTGAAGCAAATCGAGTTTGGAGTCCTTTTGTTTCTTTAACGAGGATAACAAACGATACGCGAGCAGGTTAATAGATCAAATGCAAATCTAACCCAAGTCGAGTCTATTAACATAACCAACATAAATGATGCGTGAAAACTCGGTTACAGAAAATTACTCAAGGTCGTTTAACTTGAAATTACTTAAGGTCGTTTTTTAAAACTCACCGAATCGCTCAGTAACTCGTTGACTTCATCACTACCCGTGTCCTGATTGATTTCAATATGTGGAGTAGAACGTTAAGTAAAGATTAATATAAACCCGCTTCGGTATCGTACAGATTAAACGTAAACCGTTATCAGGAAAGAACTCAGAGACGAAATAGAATACTTACCAGTATCTCTTGGGCTGTGAGTTCCGACAGCCGAGCATACACAATTGGAATCCACTCGTCGGGTATCAAAATAGATTCCAGCAATAATTCCCAATCGTGGGTCGAGGAACAACCATCCAAGAGAGCTTGAAATTCGCGAACGTTGGTAATGAAAGCCATGATGTTCAAAAAGTGAATAAAGGTTTTCTCAAAACGAGCGAACTCGGACAAATGTTCTCCTTAACAAAGCGATTGCAAGAATAAAATGCTGAACGGAGAGCGCGCTTTTATGTTGAACACATAATAGATTGTTCACTATCCAATCAGGGTTAAAAGATCCCGGGCAAGTTTGGGCCGGCCTATTGTTCCTATTGTAGTAGAGTGATGCTCATTAGTAAACCTATCCACTTCATTATATATGGAGGAAGGCACTTAATTAGTATGCAGGAGATCCAAATTAGTATGCGGGAAGGCAGTGACTAGGCACTTAATTAATATGAAGGAACGCATTTTTTCCCTAGGTTATAACAATGGGTGACGTCATAGACTAGACCCATATGCCTATTAATAAAGGGAATCCACTTTTTTGCGAGGGAAGACAGGGGAAGACACCAACGGGGTTAAGTTTGCTGAAGCCCTACTACTATAACGTCAGAAAACATCCAGAATCTTCGAGCAAGCGTAAAAGTTCGTGGGGCATGGGATTTTCCCAAAACGAAAACACCTGACACTGACGTCATACTCGTTTTAATATTCATTTATGTTGTTCTATTGTTCCTTAAATTGTTCAGTTCTTGACATCCTTGAATACATCCGCCAATACTTTCTTGACAACATAGCTTGTATAATTAAGCAATAGACCACACTTTCTATGGGTTTACCGCCGTGATAACCCACGCGAGATGTTGGGAGAACACGAGAAAAGCTTGTAAATCACGAGCCGAAGGCGAGTGATTTACAAGCTTTTTGAGTGTTCTCCCAACATCCCAAGTGGGTTATCACGCCGGTAAACCCATAGAAAGTGTGGTCTATTGCTTTTATAAAATAACCTTTAGTAGAGTGGAGTCTTTTAGGTAAAAAAATATGGTTTTAGTACCGTGATCGATTTATGTCTTCTCTCTAAAGTCATCATAAGCCAATCATGACTCACGATTTAATAGCGCAGAACTTTCTCAAAACTCAGTTCAGTCAAACAACAAACAGCAGCACTTCAAAACACGAGTTTTTGCACTCGTTACATGATAACTTATGAAAGCTGTTTTACACGAAAAGTCAACACATATTCATGCGAACGTACAATGAAACAATACGTTCATGGTTTGTTTACTAAAGAAGTAGAAAATTGAACATCAGACTGTACGCAGCTGTATTTTGTTGAGTCGATCCGTAAGAATTTCGTGCTTACAGACGGAACTGGCAGCTATTGTAATGGAGGACTTCATTCACTTTTTTACAAGCCGCAGTGGTTTAAGATCTGTTTTCTGGGCTTTATCATGATCAAGAAACGCTGCGACGTGGCTGCATTTGCGAAGTTGTCGCATGTAACTTTACATGCACGTACAGTCACCGATGGAAATCTGTCAGTGGTGGAGAAAGGCCGGTTTTTTTGCCGTAGCCACATATTGGCGTTAATATTTGTCGATTTGTGAAGTCAGGTGGTTTGAGGTAGGTTATGGCATCGATATCACCGAATAATTTGTACAAATGTTGGAAAAAACCAGCCCGAAACTCTGACATCTTTCATCATCGTTGGCAGCTTGTTTACAACCTACAGCGGCCGATTTTGTACCATATCTTGATCAGAGATCTCTTTTTGGAACAATTTCTTTCATTAAGGAATTTAATTTTGACATAAAATAAATCAAGAATGCTAAAACTATCCGTTTTGTTGCTGGTTGGCATATGGTTAAGTTTTCCTAGAGACTTTCTACACAAGAAATTCACACAGTTGTTGTCTTTCTCTGCGATTTGGCATCGTCGTGAAATGTAAACTGCTTTCCAGCTTTGTACGACGCTTTGTACTTTATAACTTCTAAAGCTATGGCAGTAGCGAATTGTGACGCTCAGTAATAAAATGTGGAAACCAACGCTTTTAATATTTAGAAGGGCTGGGTAAGTAACTTGTTCTGTTTTTTAGCCTTTCTAAAATTGTTGTTTGCAGATCAATAGCCAGTTTTGTTTATGGCTCGTGGTCCGGATGCCTTTTTCTGTGGGTTTACCGGTATAATAAACCATAGGTTTTTTGACCAATCAGATCACGCGTACTATCTCAGTTATTTTATAAACTGGTATAAACGATGCAAAGGTTTATTGCTATTCCGTTTTTTGATATTTATCCCATCAATCATTCTAATCAGAACATTCGTTTTTGTTAATTTTGTTCTCTGTTCACTATTTTTTTTTCGAAATTTTCCGAATATATTGTTAAGTGTGTGAGAACTTTGAATATCAAAAAAACACAACATATACACTTCCCATTGCCACGAGATCACTAAGAACTTGCATGCACCCTTTACTTGAAAGGTTGAAGTTCATTTTGTTACAAGCAATACTGAATGATTGAATATAGTTCACCTATCCAAGAATGTTGTCTTCACTGAGGGTAAAGAAAAAGCGACGATATATCAGAAGAGGTGGAGCAGATTTTGATCTCTTTGGCATCACAATAATTATCTCTATCCTTTTTGAAAATTTCTTTTGCTCAGTTAATTGTCTTTCTCACGGACAACTCATTCTGTTTTAACGACCAATCTCAACAAATTTCATTTTCTAATTTCTGTGAAGTTTAGAGACGGTCATCACTAAAAAAGTAGGTAAAGTCTAAACATGAATTTTTTATTTGTACAATTTCGGACAAGTGGAAACAATTCCATAATCTTCACATAACAGCAATATTTAAAAACAACAACAACTACTACTACTACTACTACTACGAGTAAGTGGCAACCCGTTCGTTATTTACAACATAGCTGAGAATTGAAATTCGGGCAACCAACGAAAAAATCTGCTTCTAGTGATCAGACCTGGGACTCGAATCCAAGATCACTCCTTTATTTAAACATTAAAAAATAAAACAAGGTTTTTGCACATTAAATGCCAATTTTTATCTTTATGTAAAAGATTACAGCAAATATCATTACTCCGTTCAGAAAGTTGTAATATCTATTCAAATGCATTTGCTTACAATAGACGATTCACTGAAATCCTTTTTTTCCTTGTTTTATAAATCTAAAAAACCTAGCTAACGTGTTCAAAAAATCTAATTTTAATGTCTTCCAGAAAGAAATCTGCGCCGTTTAAGCTTAAGTTTGACTAAGTGACGTAATTACTTATTGTTCTTTTGTTCCAATAGTCACACAACTTTCCACTAATATCATGTCGATGAACTTTGCAATTCTTTATTCCAGATAGCAACCATCAGTTACTATTCAGTCCCATCCCCAGCATGGACGTTGGCATATAGAAGGCCATCATACTGTCTCAGGTTGACGTACGTCTGTTAGTGAAAATCAATCAAGAATGAAGTTAGCTTAAGTTTTTTTTTAGCTGTAACTTAGAAATGTATTGCAGTGTTATCAGGCTGCACGATCATGACGATGATTATTATTATTACATGTAGTTTATTATTATTATTGTTATTATTATTACTACTATTATTATTAAAGCTTAATAATTGCTATGTCAAATTAAGGTCAGTTGTGCGATTCGTCGAGTTCATCATTACAGCGGTTACCACCAACACGCGCCTTTGAAGGGTTTTTTCTGTCTGTTTAAACCTGAGTTTTCGTGGACGTCAATCAACTATTTCCATGGTTTTCCATGCACTCTGACAAAGAAGGTTCCCTCATCGCTGAATGAAAGGCGAATAATTTCGAACGACGACGGCTTGTTACATTATTTTATTAAGATGAAGGATTACATTGTTAAAACAACGAGGTCTCTGCGAGCTGAGTGAAAAAGCCGAAACATTCTCTATAGTTTACGTAACGGTTTTCAGGTTGTTTATTTATTTGAAATATGAAAACACGGGAGCCGTGGACGACTGAATTGCCAAGAAGCTAAGCTAGTATAAATTCAAAGAAACGAAAGATATCACACCGAAAAGGGAAAACGTTTCCTCTGAATGGAGGCTGTTTTCGAAAATGAATTTTACTACTTATCTTTCTTCTTGTTATCGAATAGAAACCAGAACTAGCAAGATCTCAGACGAGTTGCGAGCGATTGAGAAAGCTTATGTGGTTGTAACTTACAGTGTGTAAATATGTCGATAATTTGAGTTTCCTCCGAGAAACACTCAACAAATTCTTTCTCCTCGTAATCTTGACATGAAGCGGTGTCAGATCCTGCAGCAAAATGTTGCATAAACGGCTGAAACGCCGACATATTCTTCCAAGTGCTCAAGAAACGGAGAAAGAATCTTCTCTAGGCCAACGCGTGAAAAATCATGATAACGGTTGATTGACGTCCACCAAAACGTAGGTTTGAACCGAAGAAAAAACCCTTTGAGGGCGCGTGTTAGTGGTAACCGCTGTAAAACAAAATTCGTAAAATGTAATTCGCCTCATTTCCTTTTTCATCTAATCGCGAAATCTGAGTCGCGCGAAATATGCGCGTTTCATTTTCGCAAAATTAAGTTCTAGTCTTAAGTTCATTCAAAACATCCTATGTTTCTGATCGGCTGAAATCCCCCGGCAGAACGACATCGAAAAGTAAAGGAAAACATAAGTACAGGGAACACAGGGCAAAAAAAGCAGTTGATTTTGCCAGCTAGGTGAAGTGGAAAGAGCCAAAAAAGTGCCTTAAAACATAGCAAGAATAGTACAAATACCACTCCAGAGATGGCAAGTGTTATTTGAAGAATGTCTGTGAGAATAAACATCCTCTCGTAATCTGAAAGGAACTAGGAACAGGCAAAGGTTTTGAAGAAGGGAATATTACATCAAGGTAAACATGAAACATAAAAGCTATATTAAGGTGGGCAGGTTTTAAAATTACAATTTTTTCGGATAAATAATAAAGAAATTATTGGATTCGCCTTTTGTGTGATTTGAGGAATTATGCAGATCCCGGAATGTGTTATCTTCCTCGGCCTTATTGAATGCTGTTTGTATTGACAAGAAAGGGGGAACCTCTTTAAATCATGTGCTGAATACACATATTTAGGCAGGTGAACTCTTTGGTCTTTCTTACTAGCTGTTTTTAGAGAATATATTTTAAAATTAATTCCAAATGTCTTTGCAATTTGTCTTTTTCTCAGTAGTCTTACAAAAGTCCTTCACTTGGCGTCTACACTGTCAGTCCTTACACCCAATGTGTTTCATTCCTAATCTCCATGTTAACAGACACTCGTTATCTCTGTTATATAACTGTACTGTGTCTGATAAGTGGCGAAACAATCAAATAATGAATCTTTTCCTGTAAATGTGGTAGCACCTTTATCATATTGCCCAATTATCTCTCACCTTGTGTTTTCTCTCCATTTCCTTTATCGTCTTGTGCAGGTTTTGAAATGTTGGCCGATCATTTGGTTCTTCTTTCCAGCATTTCAGCATGACCTGGTACCTGGGTCATTTTAACAAAGAGGCCAAAGATTTTCTAATGTTAAGTTAAGAAACAGACACGGAGTGGATAATTTCCACTTTCGTAATGTCGTGCCTATCCTTAGGTAAAAAGCCTTATGGGATTCATTTGGAAGTGGAAAGCCCGGGAAATTAAACAGAAGCGCGCAAAAAGTTAGTGCTCACATGGAAGGGGATTGCTTGAGGCAATACCCCTTGCATGAATAGCCTCTTTTGCTAGAGATACAGTTGCAAATACTTAAAACGGTGATAATCAAAACTGAAAATCCTTAATGGCTAAGTTTTTATATGATACAATAAAATGAGCCTTTACTCACAGTTTGTCATCGACATGTTTTGGTTTCGGCATTCTGTATCCTTTTTGAAGTCTTTCCGCGATTTGACGAGGTTTTATACCTGGATATGGAGAACCACCTATAAAATAACATTCATTGATTGGAGAAAAGGAGCGATACAAATGTATTATGTAATTAATGCCTTAAGCAGAACTTAGGTTATTAAACTGTTTTTAAAGCAATATTGTGTATGTTTCTGTTTTAATCTACGCTTACCTACGGTGAGTATCTCGTAAAGGAGGATACCGTAACTCCAACTGCAAAAGGAATGAGAGATGTGAAAATTTGTACTTTACGTAAAATGTACAAGGCAGTTTTAAATGCCATATAATGTTCACTACTCACACGTCGCTTTGTGTTGTGTACACTCCATACAACAAAGCCTCATAAGCAGTCCACTTTACAGGCAGGCGACCCTTGAGAGTTAAAAAAAAACGATTTTAAACGAAATAAGGTGTTCTCTTCAAAGAGAAGTTGTAGGTTACACCATTTGATTACCTATCGGGTCACAAGTAAAGCCCACAATCGCGTTTTTTGTTGTTGTTGTTACCTGCTTATCGTATCGAGAACTTGAGGTACAAAAAAGTTTGGAGCATAAATCTGAAGTTCAAAACTTTTCTAATTTTTCTGTTAGAATCATTCTTGATGTGCTTTCTCGTGTGTTTACCTTTTCTAAAGCGTCGTCTTTTAATTCCCTGACATCTTTGTTCATAACCTTTTAAACCTGGGAGACGTGCGGAACGTTGCCACGACAAATTTCTAATTTCACATATGAAATTATAAATTAGTTTGGTAATAGTATGATTTGTAGTGATATTTGGCATAAATACCACGAGTGATATTTCGAAATTGTTATACGTAATTTCACGAGCTGTTAGGCGAGTGAAATTTGAGACAATTTTGAAATATCACAAGTGGTATTTATGCCAAATGTCCGCTACAAATCATGCTATTATTTGTTTATACTACTACCCTCAAACGTTTTGTAATTTTCACACGTAGGTATTTCAAATCAAGTTCAAATACCACTGTTCTAAGCCAATCAAATTGCAGAAATTTCTCATGTAGTAGTATAAACGCTGAAATTTAAGCTAAAATTAAGGAGTAATGGCCCTCATGATATTATAAAAATAAACATAAATATCGTTATCATTGGTTTAACATCCAAAGCAAATTGACTTCTTTAATTTGTTATTACAAATTACTAAGCAATCTTCGTCACTTAAGAATTCCTTACCCATCGATACAGCAGGCTGCTATTATTTTTTATTTTCTGATAATTAGATAGCTTTAGAATTTGATGTGTTGCATTTTATCCGCTGGGCATTAGTTTCCTGTTGTAATTGGTATATTCGTTTATCAGGAATAAAGACCACGTTCGCTTGCCGGGGATGATCATAAACAAATAGAAGAACCTTATAAATAAGAGAAACTCATTTGCCTTTTTATCAGAGTATCGATTCCGGAAAGTTTAAAAATTCCCAGTTTTATACCCACCCGACTTGTTTTGGTGTAAATTTCATCCTGCTGCACATCCCTTGCCATTCCAAAATCTGTCACCTTACATTTCTCTCCTTCACCAACTAGAACATTTCTTGCCGCCAAGTCACGATGGATTACCTACAAGAAAAGATAAGACTTGTTATTCCTTTATCAGGCTATATCGAAAGCTTAATATATGATTTGTCCTTTTCCAGGCAAAAACATTTGTCAAATCTTTTGTCGTGATTTTATAAAAAGACCTGTGTCCTTCTTCGACATCAATAGAACATGAATTGAAATATCAATATATATATATATATATATATATATATATATATATATATATATATATATATATATATATATATATATATATATATATATATATATATATATATATATGAAATTGAACATGAATGAACAACCTAAGCGGTTGTAAATGAACCTTAAAACTATAAGGCTTTACCAGGAATCGAACCCTGACCTTTACGATGGCCGGAAAACGCTCATCCATGGACCTAATTAGCTCAATCGGCTTGATCAGCTCAATGAATAGCAGAGCGTTTCGTTCAGTCATTGCAAAGGTCAGCGTTCGATTCTCGGTCAAGCCTTAATTTTTAGATTCTTTTTCCACCTGTTAGGTTGTTCATTCTACTGTGAAGATCACGTTCATCTTCATAATAATAATAATATAAAAAAGCAAAAACAGACGATCGAACCTTTTTTGAAGACAAGTAACACATTCCATCAGCGACTTGCCAGGCAAATTTCATCAACTGATCCGCAGATAGACTGGTCTGTGGCTTGATATCAGGGTCCTTGAAGTACGTGTCGTTTAGTCCCCGACTCTTCCTCAAATAGCCCAGCAGGTCACCATACGGTACATACTCAATAAGGACTAACAGGGGATCTGCGGGTATTTAAACAAGCTAATAAGGTAAACCTCTCAGCCTTATGAAGATTTTTTCAATAAGTAGAAAACAATCTGTATTTAACTTTCAAGCACAGGGATATATAATCGTTTGTATTGATATATACACGTGAATTTGTGAAGCCAACAAACTTTAAGCTACGGAGTATTTCGACAAGCCGGTAAAGTGGTTTGAGTATGAAGTTAAATTGCGGAGTACTTGGACCAGCCAGCTAGGTGGTTTGTGAATTACTTCAACTAAGATGTGCGTAAAATCCATTGAGGTGGTTTTGTGGAAAATTTCAAACCACGGGGTATTTTCACAGGCTAGGAGAGCGTGAGTTATGTTTTGTACAGGTCAGTGAAGGGTTTTAAAAAATGATTATTGCTTTTCTTTACATGCTAGCCAAGTTGTTTGTGAATTACTATTCTGTTTGTTTATACGGCAAGTCAAGTATTTAGATGACGAGTGATATAAGTGTCATATAATTGTAGCGGGGATTTGTGGATCCCACGTCAAGCTCAGTGATTTCTCGCGAGCGCTCCTTCCCGAGATGTTTCCCTCGCGGGAGGCGCTTGGGCGCGTGTATTTCACTGAGACCGAGAGTACTCGTAGTGTACTCGCGAGTTGATGGTTTTAATTACAGTGAACTGGTATTTGAACAGTAATTGAGTTCATTATTCCTTATGCGAGAGATAAATTTCTCTTGCACAGACTGTACAGGTTCAGAAAACTGTGGAAAAAATCCAGAGAGAGTTTGATGAATGGAAGAAGAGGTCAGACACCATTGCAGTTGACACTGATGTTTCAACTTTGCAATTATTGATTGCTAAGCCTGCATCTGTCTTTGATCATTTTGCTGCCGTGGGTGCATTGGAGGATGTTGCATTTATTCGAAAACATTGCGTCAGAGCCGATCCCTCGTGGCAAGTCGAGCTCTCCAGGACATTCTTGTGAAGCTGTGCATCAAAAGAAGAGGAGGAAGTGGCTAGCTTGGTGGGAAAAGCCTTAAAAAAGGTGAAGCTTGAGCAGTACGTTGGCTGAACGCGCTGGGCTCCATATTGCTCTCGTCTCGTCGGGAAATGCTTGATGATGCACACTTTACGTGGAGAAACATTAGAACTTGTGTACCACAGGGGTCCCTGTGTTGTCCACTCTTGTTTAATATGTATCAATGATCTTAATTGTTTTATTACTAATACGTCTTAGAGGCTGTACGATGACGACACCACTGAATACGCCTCTGATTTCTCACCGATGGTTTTGCAGTTTGTAATTAACTCCGATCAGAGGGTGCTATCCAGATGGTTCAGAATGAATTTTTTCACAGATTAACGCCGCTAAAACGTAAGCTGTTGCCATGGGGCCATCATCATACGAGTACAAATTCCATCTTAATGATTCTAACGTTGATAAGAAGGATACACTTAAAATCCTAGGAGTTGTCTTAGACAGTAAATTAACATTTAAAGCGCACATAAAGGAACAGCTGAATAAGGCCTGCACAAAAGCTTCGGCCCTGCGGAGAATATGTAAGTTCATTTCTGACATAGTTATTAGAGGAGACTGGTTATGAAAAGCGGCAAACATGAATGATAAAAACAACAGTGCTGCAGTTTATGTTCAAAGCACCGTGACAGTGCACAATCCTTTGTTTTCTGTTGGCAAATTGTTACGGAATAAATTAATGCAACGTTTTTATTGGTCAATACAATCAAAATGATAGGAATTCTTTTGTACGTTGTGCACTTTCAGGGTCCACAAAAACATATAACTAAGGAGTCTGACGGGTTTCATAACCATTCCACTCAATTAACTATGTTTCTGAGGACGTATTAGTACGTCTCTACAAGGTTTATTTTCCCTCTCACCTAGAGTACTGTAGTCCGCTTTCGCTGGGAGTAGGTAATTCCGAGACTACCAAAATGGAGACGACTAACTATTTTTTATTAAGAACTATGTTAGGCTATTCGAAATCTGTGTCATACGACTGGAACAACGTAGCCAATTCCAATCTTTAGTTATGATGTACAAATACTTGTACGACCAGGGGGCACTTTATATCAGTGAATTTTTTACTTTTGAGGACGCACCGCACAATTTACGTCGGCTTAGCACAAAGCTGAATTTGCCTCCCTTTAATCTGGAGTTTATGCATCGATCCTTTACATTTTAGCCAGCAAACGTTGGAATGCGTTACCTCCAAAAGTTAGAGAATCACAAGACATTGCGTCGTTTAAGCGATCTCTTAAAGCTCACATGGTTTAAGGTGTAGGGTTTGTAAATTCTGTAAATAGCCTTAGTTTTAGATTCTACTTTTAGCCATTCGCAGATCTATTTATAGTAAGTATTTTAATAGTGGTAATGTATAGATTACTAGTATACTTTTCCATTTTGTTTTAATTTGCACACACGTACACGTTTTAAGGAGAGCTTTGGTGCTCCTGGGTATTACGTGTCTAAAGGATTTGATTTGATTTCATTTCATTTGGGTTTGTGCCCACCTTGGTCATGCGCGGGCCTGCCCAAATAAGCGCGCTAATATTTATGAATAAACTTTGTTATTTGCATAATGTTTTTCCTAGTCTTGTTTTGCTGGGCCTTTCTTTACTGTTTTGTCCCTCTATACCCTGGGGGAGGAGAAGAAGCTCTAGAAGCGTTTTGCCTCTTAGGACTAGTTTGGAAGTGGAAATGGTGGTCACTATCTCCGAGATTGGGTGTTTAGTCATTTCCCTTTCTGGTGTGCTTTCTTTTCGTTTTCCTTAACCCCACGTGAAGCGCATTAAGTTTTCTCAAGTGAAGTTTGAACATTTCTTACCCTTGCAAGCGGAACATCAGGGTTTTGCAAGGGAAATTAACCCTAGGACGTACACACAAATTGATACCCCCACTGTAGTACAAGGGGGAGCTGATGGAGCCCCTCCCTGAATTATTGATATGTTGCAGTATTTCGAAACGATTTTTCCTTCAGTGGAGAGCCTTTGATCTTCTCTACAAGATGAGGTATATTTTTTCATCTCGGATTTGCATAACTATCTCGCATTCTCCCAACCCCTCTCGTATTTATATCAGGCTTTGCAAACACGGAAAACGTTTCCTATTGCTTAAATATTATTGAGGATCTGCAGTTTGGGGTTGAATGACAAGGATGGTGGCTTTTTGATGTCACCCCTTCCTTCAGATGGGAGAATGCCCATTATATCTATCAAATGGTGGGATTAGGGTCGACAAACTTCTTTAGGAATCTGGGGATAGCGTGTTCATTGTACACTAATGATTGTCTTTATGGAGAGTCATTCGCTACCGAGGACTATTGGTCTCGCCCCAGCATTGAGCAAGACGAATACTTAAGTTTCCTGGCGACGGAGAACGCTTTGTTCGTCGTACTTACGTTTACTGTCCATCTTGGCCATTTCCTTGGATTAAAGAAATGCATGATTGTTCCTGCAACAATTATCGTATATCTTGGTATGCTGGTAGAGTCTGTGGCTTGAGCCTTTTCGAAAAATTAGGTCAGTCTTATCGTTCGAAAGTTCGTCCATTTGGAATCAATTCAGAAGTTGAATGGCCGCTTCGATTGGCAGGGCTTCCACAGGTTCCAAACGTGTCCTTGAGATCTGCATTGCGAAAGCCAGGAAATCAACCATTTTTCGCGTTTCATGGATGATTAGGACAGTTTTATCCCTTGGAGGCATGAAAAGCATTTGGTGCTCTCCATCTCTTTAGATGCTTCGTCTTACGCTGGGTGGCTGTTATCCACCTCAAGTCTTCTGATCTCTCCATCGGCGACTCCTAGGATGATGAGTTTAGGCGCATCAAATTCAAAGAAATGTATGCGGTAGCCATAGCGTTTGAATCTCTCGCATTGGAAGGTCAACATTGTAGGTTGGACGTTCATGTTGATGGTCAAGTTACGATTCACGCTTGGAATGGCCAGGATACGCGCTCTCGGGAGTTTACACTAGTGGCAAAACGTATATTAGATTTTGTTACGCGCAGGAACCTCGCTCTAACCATGTCCTATGTTCCGTCAAGGTTGAATACGGTGGATTTGTGCTCACGTAATCTTGCTAAGTCCGGTGCCATGTTTTCGTCTTCCTGTTGGGATTTGGTTCAATCTGAGTTTGGCAATGTGGGTTTCATAATTTGGATCTTACGTAATTAGATGCCAACACTTAGAGCGATAATTCCGGAAATACCTTGCGTCATTTTACACTACGCCTTACTCTAAACACTTCGGGAGTGAACGTTTTCAATCAAGATCTCTCACTCTGTGATAGTGTTAGAGTTAATGCATAATACGTATTCCCACCCTTCCGCATTGTTCCTCCACTGCTGCGTTTCCTTACGTCCGAAGGAGCGATCGTAGCTGTAGCGGGTTCTAAACAACCTCCTCTCCCTGCTTGGTGGCCATTACTTAACTCTATGGAACAATGGAAGGTTTTATTGGCTGAGCAACTTTTGATGAACGCAATTTTATTTCCTTCAAAGCAAGGTCTCAAACCTGGGCCATTGCCTTGGAATCTGTGGGCTTTTTGCCTAGGCGGAGTATATTAGTTGAATGTCGTTATGTTTTTCTATCGTTCGCAGCTTGTGCTCTTGGTTCCTAGGTTGTTCGTGGCTTCAGTAGCTTGCCCATCGTGCAAACATCCAAATGACCACGATCTTCAATTTTGTTAGCGTTGTGGTTATAACCATGACACCATAGGCGTTTGGCTTATAGTACGTTGGATTCTTTGGTAGTAAAATAACGCGCTATTTTTTTTCAAGCAGGCTAAACATTGGAGGACTCTGCGGGAATCCCGCAGCTTCTTTAACCGTTAAATCCTATTTTATAGCGCTTAAGGAAGAACAGCTACTAGCTAGAACTGTTCCTATTTAAGCCAAACCATTCTTTATTCAAGACCCGGCCGCAATCTATACCTTGAAGCGTCCGTTTGGACGAATTTCCAACCCTGCTCAGCTTTTTGTCCTTGCAAGAGATCAATCAGATCCTAAGGAAATCTCTTCGCAATGGTACGTCGAATCAGTTTGGCATTAAGCGTTACAGGGAAGCCTCATTTTGCCCCGTTGCTACCTTCCATCGGTATATTCCAAATATTCCAAATTTCTGGAGATGACAATCTAAGCTTAACACTTTAGACAACACGGATACAGAAACAATTTCTCCTTTCCGTTTTGTCATTACTATTGACTGTTTAATTGTCTGTGCTCCACAAGACGCGAGTGGCCATGCGATTTCCTGCCAAAAAACCTCGAGTTGCATTTCGGTTGCCATACCTGTTGATTGAGTTATTTTACATTGGTAAGTCTGTGGTGCAGATTGACGGACAGGCTAGGTTCAAGTGACTACAAGTCACTACCAAATTTTCTTACCCACGGTGCTCCGGTGCAAGTGAGAGAGCCCCGCTAATACTGTTAATAAGCAGAAAAGGAAAATATGCGATCATAAAGTCCAACCAGAATGTCTCCATAAAGCAACGTTCACAAACACTTTCCACCTTTTTTTTTCTTCTCTTCCCAACTACATTATACAAGAAGAGAGACGATGTTACAGTATTTGTTAATGAATTCTTATTCTCTTACCACTCTCAGTTACGCATGCCATTAGCTTGATCACGTGGGGATGAGGTTTCAGTTTTTTCATCAACTCAAGTTCTGAAAGAAGATCCTTTCTGTCTGAATCCGGTGCATTTGCTACAGAAAAAGAAAACTAAAATAGTCCATAATGTGTACTAAACAAATTGTTTCTTGACAAAGCGCCACTGTTAATGTTAATTAGTTTAAAATATATAGATTTCGCCAGGGCTAAAAGCGAAGCTCCAATTAAAAAATTTATAGTTTATAAATCAAACAAAACTTGTAACAAACCCACAAATCAATTAACTTTAGCGAACCTTTAATACGACTTGTGAGGGAAAAGCTAAGCGATGTTAGAGAATAATTATTGAGGAATGGACCAAGTCTTACATCAAGTTAATGACCTTATATGTACATCCAAAAAATAGCAATCACCTTTGATCACATTTAAGAGGCTGTCCGCGTAAGAACCGATAAGGCAAATTTCGGTGTTTCACGGATTGCCCAGAATTTTTCAGTGGAATATAACTATCCTTTCCCATTAAGAAATATCAATTTCATTCGATTTTTTCTCTGTATTACAGGAAGATTTTCTAGGTGACTGAAAACTAGCCAGTTTGCCGGCGGAAGAGTTGCGATTTTGCTGAAACTTTACGGCTCTGTCAAACCTGCCTTACAAAGCCGAATAAGCTAGTTATTTTACACACAAAAGTTTCTACTCTGATTATTAGTTTAATGTTTTAACGGTTGCATTTTGTGGAAAGTTGGCTGAGATACGAATTTTCTAAAATGACCTTTAATTTGCTCGTCAGGAAAGGTAATTTGCATAATTCCATGTTTGAAAAAGAGGTGGGAAGAAAAAAGGCAGTTTTGAGGGTTTTCCAAGCCTGTAGGAGTGTTTTTCGGGATTCTGATGAAAGATCGTAATTGACAAACCTTTTCTGAGTTTTCTGAACGTGTTTTAAGGATTCGCTAAAAACGAATGATATACACCAGAAATTGTTATATCTCATAGCTCGTGCTTTATTCCAAAGGATAACATAACTTTAAACAAGACTCACGTCCGAAAACGGTTAAGGGAAGCAACGAGTTACTAACATTATGGTGTACACAGTAAGAATTTCGGCAGGCCAAAGAGCTAGAGTGGTGGATATATGACAAAGCACGAGGTCATTTGTATAGGTAATAGCATGATTTATGGTGATATTTGGTATAAATACCACGAGTGATATTTCGAAATTGTTATACGTAATTTGAGACAATTTTGAAATATCACAAGTGGTATTTATGCCAAATATCACGTAAAATCATGCTATTATTTGTTTATACTACTACACACAAAAGGTTTGTAATTTTCACATGGAGGTATTTCAAATTAAGCTGAAATACCACTGCTCTAAGCTAATCAAATTGCACTAATTTCTCATGCTTTAGTATAAACCTGGTAATAACTTGCTCAGAGATGTCAACATTGCAGTCGCCAGTACTCAATATGAGTACGAATGTCAAAAAGTCCAGTAGGCTTGGTAGAGAAAATAACAACGTTTTCCAAAAGAGCTAGATAGCTAGAACGGCCGTGAAAAAATATTAAGCCATGTGAATAGCCCTCGCTGGTATTTGTACAACAACAAAAAAAGCCAGCAGGAGCTATAAATGCAATTGTGATGTAAGAAAAAGCGGTTGTTTCATAATACGCCTTGTTCGTCGGTGGCAAAACATTTTTTCGCTGACTTCTAGAGAATTGTACCGGATCATCTTTTGTTTGAAAGTGTTGCTAATATTTCTATGTGTTTTTTTGCTGACAAAAATTACGTTGGGTGATATTTGTCACGAACTAAGTGAACAAGCGAGTTTACTTTAAACTGATTTGCATATATAGCTAAACAGTACGCACCAACAGTACTCATTCTAAAACCTTAATAATGTGTGCTTTTTCTATATAATCTTAACATCTTAGGAATGGTAAGAGAAAGTGTATCTGTAAATACATCCTTTGATGCTTTTATTTACAGCGAAAACGCAATTTTTAGCTCTTTAGTCACAGAACTCACTTTGAAACCCGGGGGCTTTGAAATGGAGAGAATGAAGAGCACGATAATTTTTCCTTACTGAATGAAGTGAGTACTGTTGTATTCACTTTACAGGATGACCTTTTTGACACATATTATTTCAAATGCAATTACTTTTTGGTTGAAATATACCTTAGCCGTGTTTCCTTAATGAATCTGTAGCGAATATTGATAATACACTGTGTTTTTGCCACCGAGTACTGTGCGCGATGCTCAAAACATCGTGCCTGACCAACTTTTCGGCTGTACTCGGCTCCAGTTTAGTGGAGTGGGCCCGATATGGATAACCAGGGAATTGCCCTGTACAAACTTGCTATGTTGAGAAAATAGTATCAAAGTCATTATTATTGCATGTCATCCCCTGCATGTCCCCAAAATACCTAAAAAGCGTAGGAAAAATGAAGAAAAAAAAATAATAATAATATACAGTATTTATAGAGCGCTAATTCCCAATGGTCCAAAAGCGCTTTACATAATAAAAATAACAACAAAATCCTAAACCTACAAAACTACATTGTCATTCTATAAAAATTCCCAATGGTCCAGAAGCGCTTTACATAATAAAAATAACTACAAAATCCTAAACCTACAAAACTACATTGTCATCCTATAAAAACATCATCATTCTATACGACAACATCATAACCAGTTATAAAAAGCCAGGTCTTGAGCTTAGATTTAAAAGAAGAAAGGGAATTACAAGATCTAAGTTCGAATGGAAGTGCATTCCAAACAGAAGGTGCAGCAATAGTAAAAGACCGGCCACCATAAGTTTTAAGATTAAATTTAGATGTAGAAAGTAAAAATTGATTGGAGGATCTAAGAAGTCTACCAGGTGTATAAGGCTTGATGAGATCAGTGATATAGCTAGGTGCAGCACCATGAAGCGCCTTAAATGTAATTACTGCAATTTTGAAAGTTATCCTTTGTTCAATTGGTAGCCAATGAAGTTGAATAAGCAACGGCGTAACATGCTCATATCTACTAGTAAGGTGAATAAGCCTAGCAGCACTATTTAGGACACTCTGTAAACGTTTCAAGATACATTTAGGCTGACCGTAGAGCAATGAGTTGCAATAGTCGATCCTTGCAGTAACAAAGGCATGAATTAGAGTTTTACATGTATCGTAAGAAAGAAACTTACGAATCTTAAAAATATTGCGTAAATGCAAAAACGAAGACTTGCAAACAGCAGTAACGTGCGGCAATATCGATAGAGAGTTATTAAAAATAACCCCAATATTTTTAGCAGTAGTTAAGGCAGGACGTGGGCGATAGGAGGATGAAAAAACTATAATTTCAGTCTTCCCATTGTTCAGCTTCAGCTTGTTATTTAACATCCAAAGGTCAATATCTTTAACACAATCTTCAAGAGCAGATGTACATGTTGACAAATCCTCAGGCGATGACGTTTCAAAAGACAAATATAGCTGTGTATCATCGGCATAAAAGTGATAAGATAGACCATGAGATCTTGCAATATCACCCAAGGGGGAAGTGTACAAAGAATACAGCAAGGGGCCCAACACGGAACCTTGAGGTACACCATAAGGTACGGCATGAACATCAGAAGAGACGTCTTGGATTCTGACATACTGAGTGCGATCAGATAGATATGAACGAAACCAGTCCAGTGCCTGGTCACAAATGCCAAAACGGGTAGATAGTCTAGCAAGGAGAAGAGAATGATCAACTGTATCAAAAGCAGCAGACAGGTACAAAACCGGGATTCAAACCGGGATTCAGTCTGGAAAAGAGGTGGGAAGAAAAAAAGGCAGTTTTGAAGGTTTTTCAGGCCTGCAAGAGTGCTTTTCGGGATTCTGATGAAAGATCGTAATTGAACAAACCTTTTCCCAGCTTTTCGGACTTTTCTGAACGTGTTTTAAGAATTCGCTAAAACGAATGATATACAACAGAAATTGTGGAATCTCATAGCGCGTGCTTTATTCCAAAGGATAACATAACTTTAAACAAGACCCACGTCCGAAAACGGTTAAAGGAAGCAACGAGTTACTAACATTCTGGAGTACACAGTAAGAATTTCGGCAGCCAAAGGGCTAGAGTCGTGGATAATAACTTGCTCAGAGATGTCAACATTACAGTCGCCAGTACTCAGCAATATGAGAACGAATGTCAAAAAGTCCAGTAGGCTTGGTAGAGAAAATAACGTTTCCAAAAGATAGCTAGAACGGCCGCGCAAAAAATATTAAGCCATGTGAATAGCCCTCGCTGTTATTTGTACAACAAAAAAATACGCCAGCAGGAGCTATAAATGCAATTGTGATGTAAGAAAAAGCGGTTGTTTCATAATACGCCTTGTTCGTGGCAAAACATTTTTTCGCTGACTTCTAGAGAATTGTACCGGATCATCTTTTGTTTGAAAGTGTTGCTAATATTTCTATGTGTTTATTTGCCAACAAAAATTACGTTGCGAGATATTTGTCACGAACAAAGTAAACAAGCGAGTTTACTTTAAACTGATTTGCATATATAGCTAAACGGTACGCACCAACAGTACTCATTCTAAAACCTTAATAATGCGTGCTTTTTCTATAGAATCTTAAGATCTTAGGGTGGTAAGAGAAAATGTATCTGTAAATACATCCTTTGATGCTTTCATTTACAGCAAAAACGCAATTTTTAGCTCTTTAGTCACAGTACTCACTTTGAAATGGAAAGAATGAAGAGCAAGAAAAATTTTCCTTACTGAATGAAGTGAGTACTGTTGTATTCACTTTACAGGATGGCCTTTTTGACACATATTATTTCAAATGCAATTTCTTTTTGGTTGACATATACCTTAGCCGTGTTTCCTTAATGATTCTGTAGCGAATATTGATAATACTCTGTGTTTTTGCTACCGAGTACTGTGCGCGATGCTCAAAACATCGTGCCTGACCAACTTTTCGGCTGTACTCGGCTCCAGTTTAGGGGAGTGGGCCCGATATGGCTAATCAGGGAATTGCCTTGTACAAACTTGCTATGTTGAGAAAATAGTATCAAAGGTCATTATTATTGCATTTCATCACCTACATGTCTCCAAAATACCTAAAAAGCGTAGGAAAAATGAAGAAAACATACTTTTTTCCCCCAAAACCGGGATTCAGACAATCCTGGACAAAAGTCCTAGGGACTCTACTGCAATATGCATATTTCTCTGTCATTTCTCCGTTCCCTCTTAAAACAGTGCATCATTTTCGAAATTTTCTTGCACTTCTCCCTCCCCCCAACCTATACAAAGTTGAAACTCGGAAAAAATTCTGGATACACCCGTCCAACATTGTTTGTGGGGTGAGGGGAGGGGTTGGATCTGAGTGAATTGGAAAACGCCCCAGAAACGCAAAAGTGTCCCAAGACTTTTGTCCATGATTGTAGAACTGAAGAGTAATTGTGCAAAAGTGGCACCTGGTCCAGACTCAAGTCAATGATAAAACACAAGTACTAAGACCAGTCTACTTCTTAATGCAATAAAATTTGTGGGCACTCTTCTTTGCGTGCTGTACAAAGTTCCGTTAATGTTGCAAGATTGGCCATATTGACCACAAAGCTGGAATTGTAAACGGTCCGCATCTGATCGACTAATTTCCATACCTATAACGTTTCTAGTTATTACCAAACGTCTTTAGACCCTTTAAATGTTTGGCTTTTGAAAACATGGAGAAAACGTTGTAGTCGCTTTTTCTTGGGTTTTTTCCTTATGGACGATGAATTTTAGTTAATTGTCCGTATGCAAATTAGCCTTAGATTAGTAGTCTCAACAAATTGAAAGGAAGTATAATCCTTGCATTTCACAATTTTAAGGGAAAATAACTCTTCTTTCCACGAAAAAAACACGAACCGTGACTTAGAATCCCCTTAAGGTCTAGTTCTTTAGAGGAAAAAGCTGCTGAATGAGATATGTTTACGTGACTTAAAATAATTTAATTACGGTGGGAAAATTTGAATTTGGATTCACTCGCTCGTTCACTTGATTCTGAAATTTCAGAAATTCAGCTTGGACCATCTGAGTTGGTTTTTTTATTCTGGATATCAACAGTTTTTAAAAGCGCTTTTAAAAATCCCGCTTTCTCTAGAGTCCTTCAAGTGCTTCCAGGGAAAATAATTGCGTGAAAACGGAAATCAACCGTGGTAAATAAATTTACGTGTAACCGCATGTCACCTCGATAAAGTATCCCGAGTAAAAATTGGCCGTCTGGAAAAACAGGAAACCGGAATCCGGAATAGGAACGGGAATGGGAACAGGAACCGGAACCGGAACCGGAAACAGCAACGGAACAGAAACAGCAATGTGAAGGGGAACCGATACAAGAACAGGGATATCATTTACTTTAAATTATTTTAATTCGAATTCAATTTATACAAAAAATAAGAACACTACTCTGGTATCATGCTCCCCACCGAATCTCTTTATAATACGGCAGCAAGGAGGTAGAAAAAGCCGCAAGTTAAATAAGTAAAGCAACAGCTTTGCGAGTGCATCGTATCGCGCTTTCTGTCAAATTCTTCACCGCGTATGCACAACTATGATGTAAATGATCAAATCTTAAGTTCTCTTAAGAACGTGAACGACAGGCAATAAATTTTATTGTGTCTTTCTGAGCTCGGACGCGGTCTCCAGTTTCATTTCCCAACCTTTAAAAGACTGGGCAATTTGGAATTAATGAGAAATAGTTTGAATTAAGACCCGAATTCAGTTTCTCAGTGGCGTTTTCGCTGGCGTTGCCGTCGTCAGATCTTAAGGTTCCTTTTGTCTCTCACAGGAAGGTGGTTATCACATGTTAATATTATTTGTCAGACCATGTGTATACGAGACACCCATCGGAGACGTTTATTGGGCTGCCATACACCTCAGGTTTGCTCCATAGATATATTGTACGGTGCTAAATTGGGAAGTTAACCAGAGATAGATAGTCCACAGCTTAAAAAGGGTAGTAACATGTACTTCCTCCCCCTCCCCCCCCCAAAACCCATCTCAGCGGCCAGTACTTCATCTACCTCAACCGCGTGCAATAGGGACCTTAATAAGCAAGCAGAACGTTGACGTCCAGGACATTAAAAATGGAAACTGGAAGTGGATGTTTTCTGTCTTTAGGTGCTCTGACTCAACAAATTCGCACACTGGAAGGCAAGAGGAAGAATTCAGATTCGTTGTGTGAGACAGAAGCGTTCCATCAAGCGACGGTCAGCGTTCTCGTTGCTTAAGTTCGCTATTATGTTTGACACGAAAAGACAATGTGTCATAGGCTAAAGATAAAGAAAGGTTAATTAGATTAACATTTCAAGGGTGTTTTCTTGTTTCTTTAATTATTTCTCTGGCTTTTTATTTATATCACAATTATATCTTTTTCTTTTCATATTCTATACACTGTTTATATTTCCGTTCCTATTCCGGTTCCTATTCTATTTTTCCCTTATTTTTCGTATATAATCTGAACAGGAATTAAATCCAGATTAACTTAAATTAAGGTAAATGTTGTCCCTGCTTTTATATAGGTTTCTCTTCCCATTCCGGTTCCTATTCCGGTTCCGGTTCTTGTTCCTGTTCCTATTCCCGTTCCTATTCCGGATTCCGGATTCCCGCTTTTCCAGACGCCCGTAAAAATTTACCGCGGCAAACTTACCACGGAAAAGAACTTTTACCATGGTGTGTGTAACTGCACATTATATGTTATTTTGACAATTAAAAATGTTATGTTTTCGCGGGAAAGCTCACCTGGTGTTTCATTGGTGTTTATATAATAAAATAAGTTTCAAAATAGTTATCGACATCCTTCATACTTTGTGCAACTTTTCAAAATAAATGCGGTAATAAGCACGTTAGACAAAGGAGCCTGTTAGTGGATTCGTAATCCATTGTTTCGGTTTAAATTTGCCAAATCCTATAAACTTAGATCAAGAACTACTGCCTCACCTTTCAGCATTTTTGCCGCCACTATGATAATTTCCTGATCGTCTCTCATGTTCCGCAACGTCGCCTTGGCAACATCAGAGAAGGCGCCTTTGCCGATCACTTTAATAACCTCCACATGTTCTCTACTGATCTCCCAGCTTCTTCGCGAGGGATGAAGAGGCATGTAATCTTCCCCTCCCAGAATCTCGTAGGTAAAATTGGCAGCTTGCTCTGCTGCGCTTGATGGTTGTTCTATTGGCTCCACATCTTCTATGGGTTTCTGGTAACAACAGTTATTAGGGAAACAGTATTTGTTTTTCTTCAACGAATATGATACCTGCCCGGATGCGACACATTGGAGACCTACTTTTTTTCATTGCTGGCGAAAATTAAAACCCACCCTGGCCTCGAGCTTGTAAGAGGGTACGATAAAAAAGGAAATGGCCTTAACCGGCTAGTAGCATGCATCCAATTAATTTTGAAAACAGCTTAGAACGTTTCCAAAAAGGACCAGATAGAAGGGTATAACGTCTTAAGATAGCAGACTGGAAGAGAAAAGGAAAGAAAACAAGAGAGTCAATCACAATATTAAATCTTTAATGTGATTACACATAAACATAAGGTATAGCGTTTAAGCTTTAATTTCATGGATGGCAATCATTTTTATTTTTATTTTAGTTTACAGGATGATCACTTACCAAAGCAATAGTTTCTCCGCCTTCCTGTTCGCTAAAGTAAAAGTTTTAATGTGGTAGTTAGATCATTTATCTTGGAATGTTTTCTTCTTGTGCTTGCGTAATAGTTGAGGTTAGGATATGAAAACACGCATGTTTCCATCAAAATTGTCGGAAAGCTTGATGGAAAGAACTCTCAGTTCAAAAAAGCTTTTCAGAAAGCTTTTTATAACCTGAGAGTTTGTTGTAAAACAAATAAAAAAATAACGCGCAAGATTTTGTATAATATTGCTGCAAGCGAGTTTAAGGCGACTTTGCGCGTCTGTTAAACAACGAAACTTAAACAAATCAAGCTGTTACAGGTTGTAGAAAGTAGTTCTATGACTCCTTTTTGCAAAAAAGTTTTGTAGCCTGCAACACCCTGATTTAGACAGGTTTGATTCGTGGCTGGTAAAAGGCGCAACATAGCTTTTGCACTCGTTTTGAAGCAGTTTTGCAAAAAAACGTCGCGCGTTTTTGTCCCAGAGTTTTACTGCAGTTTGATGTTTGGTTTTCTCAGTAAATAAGAGAAGCTTCAAAGTCAGCAGTATTTTAACAGACTTAAATGCACTTATTCATTTTAATTGCTTTCGTTTAAGGTGGCTTCATTTTCTGGCTACAGTTGCATTAAACTATAACAAACTTTGTGTTATAACTTTTTCGGTTTTAAAGCGATGGGTACGAATCTTTTAGAATACCGATTGCCAATTGTCACATCGTAGTGTGCTTAAAAGTGTTAGCTCCTTAGCTTTTTATGCACTATAATTTGCTCCAAGCCTTGCACAACAGTCCATGACTTATCCATCGACACATTTTGGAAATTAAAAATGTCATCTTCATTGGCATGTTGAGGCATGCCTTTAGCCTGGGAATAGCCGTCTCTGTTCCCTCCTCGCTGCTAGAGACGTTTCAAGGGAAAGATGTCATCGCCTAAATGACAAAAATCCCCCACTGATTACGTGAAATCTTTTTAGAATCTGGTCAGAAGCTCTGATTGGTTGACGAAGTAACTGTGTTCTTTTCAGCTATTGTTTACGAATGACAAACAAAAAGGTCGCAAACGTCAACGTAAACACGCTGAATCTACCCCAAAACAGTCGTTGTAAGTGGAATATATTCTTCTTTAAAAGAAGTATGTGAGTTTTAATGCTGATCGTTCGTTCACGACACAGCTCAAAACTTTATTTACAATACAATGCTTTTTACTGCTTTGCGTTTCTGTTAATTCAAGAACTAGGTATTGCATTGGGATTTCCAATAGAAGAGTAGAATTATTTCATATTATTGCCACACGACAACTCTCAATTTTATGTAAATGCAGAGGCACATCTTACATTAAAATAATGTCCAATAAACTCAGAGGACAATTTTACAAACCTTAGTGGAAATTTGTGTTAAAATAAAGGGGTTTTTTGTACCCTAGATTAGACTGGTTTAAGATTGCTCACTGAAGAGTTTACAAGTACTTCGCATTTAAAATATTAACATGGAAAATGAATACTCACTTATTTGAATGCAACGAGCCTGAAATAAACAACACTTATCTTAGCAGAGGTTCACTTCATAAAACAATCTTTAAATTTAAAATACAGTATTTCGCAAAATTTTTCTGGTTGACTGTTGAGATTTTGGCAAATTCTAAGTTTCATCAGCATTATTTTCGGGTTGTGATTGTAGATAAAAGACCCATGCAATGTACCTGGCCCAACAAAAATAAGAGGTCATATGAGACCAATCAACATGGACGGCTTAGAAGAAGTGCAGATTTGCCATAAGTTAAACCCCATTAAGAGCTTCGGTTCAAAATCATCGAAACCAAATACGCCATTAGGGGGCTCAACATGTTGTCGTGAATATAGTCATGACTACGATTTCTTACCTGAACGAAGGCGCATTTTCCATAGTACAACAATGAGAATAAAGAGTATGATCGACAATAGAAGAATTACACTGATGTAGGCACCGTGAAGCACTCCCGTGTTACTACTCTCAGAACCTGGAATTTTTTAAGAATGTAAAGCGGTAGTTTAAGAAAGAGACAAAACTGCATTTTAATTTGAAATTGAAACGATTGCAGTGCGTAGTAATTTATCCAGATATGTCGACTATTATTAGAAAGTGATTGCCATCGATGACTGCTATTGAATCTTGAATGTTGACATGGCTTACCTGCTTGGGTTTTTGGCGGTTTTGTCGACACTGAAAACGAAAAACAAAAATAATAGGAGTTTACACTAGATATGAAAGGTTTCTTTGCTAATGTAATTAATCATACATTACAGTTCTTTGTTAACTAAAGAAAACAGCACAAACTTCTCCTAATAAGACCTTTTGATATAATTTCTTGGCAAAGAAAAAAATTAAAAATGGCTGAACGAACAAGCTTGTCGAGCTCGAAGTCTGTTGTTTGAAAAGTGGGGAAACTTGAAGCAATAGTGGACAACTTTCAGTATTCGTTGTGATTTTCAGAGAAATCTCGCTAAAAATAATTATTTATACACCTACCGTCTAGCACTTTTATTCGCTTGATGTCCTGTTCCATTGAACTCTCTCCATACTTGTTAGTCGCGGTTACTACAAACTCATATTCCTTCCCCTTCTCTATTTCAACGGCGTAAGAACGGTTATAGACATCGATTATGGTTGCAATTTTCTTCCACTCATCATCATTCGCAAACCTTTGGTAGACGGAGTACTCTATGATTACCGCCCCATTGTTATCTGGTTCTTTCCATTTTAGAAATATCCCATCAGTTACTTCGACAGCATCAGGAACATCTGCGTAGAAAGGAAGGAAAGCTGCGCGTTGAATTTATAAATATCAATTGAAAATGAGCAAATACGTACATGAAAAAACAATTTCATATTCTTCCTTCAACTCCAACGTTACTCTTCCAGCCATAAAAGAATAATTATGGCCCACTGTCGAAGGAATTTTGTTAATCGTTAGAGAAACTCTGTATTATTATATTTAGAATCTCATTCAAGGAAAAACGCAAACGTCAATTTCAGGTTGCCATTCAGGGGCAGATCTAGTGGGAGGGTGCAGGGGGTGCGCCCCCCCCCTCTGAGATGACCCGCGGTTTTCTAATACAACTGGTATTCTGGAAAAAAAAAAAAAAAAAAACTCTGTGGTTTATTGGTGTTGAAGTAGAGCAAGAGACGAGTGCACCCACTCCTAAAAAAAATCCTGGATCCGCCCCTGCCATTTGTGTTCGGGTTAATGTAATAAAGATTAAACTGCAATGCAAGTACATAAAAGCAATAAATAAAGATCACGTGTTATAATTGACGTTGAACGTTTGCAGTTTGTCATAAACTTGATTCTAAATTTCTCTATCGTTTTACAAACTATTACGCCAAAGCCAAGCGTCGAACTTTTCATGAGACAAACCGAATCGCAATTTGGGTAGACCTAAATTTAGTTAGCTAATTAAAAGTTAGTCTGTTGGGTCAGTTGATGAACTAAAGAATCAGCGAGCCAATCAGACATCTTCACCTGAAGCAGACGGATAGAACGATTTGGTTGATCCAAACTTATTGCTACGAAATTAACTGAGACAGACGTCAAACGTTTTCATGAACTTAATCGGCCCAGTTTGGTTCCTCTAATGAAATTTCGATGTTTCGCCTTAACCATACCAAACTATTTAAGGAAACAATATTTTTGAAGAATTCCTTATCAAAAAATTATGGAATAATTTTCCCAAAAGCTTGGGACCTGACAAGTGCATTCAAAAATCGTTGCAGAAAGTATTTCAAGAATCTTTTCTCTTTCCTTTCATAAATTGTAATCTATTCTTAAATTCCGTGGACTAACCTAACTGTCCTTTCCCAACTTTCCTGCTGTTCTCTTTGTGTTTTTTACGGAATGTTTACAGTGAAAATGGATTAAATTAAACCAAATTGAAATTGTTCCAATTAGGGAATAAGTCTTACTAACAAAATCTAATCAAAGCTTTCTTAAAAAGACGAATGAATTCAAATTTAATTAAGATTTGTAGTACCTCCTAATACTGAGATCCTCTTGATCTTTTCCACTTCTTTTTTACTTTCGCCACATTTGTTTGAGGCAGTGACCACAAATTCGTAATCTCGACCAATCTCTAAATCGACAGCAACCTCACGAACTGAGACACTAGTTATATCCTGTACTTTAGCCCATTCATGCGACGTGTCTCCATCTTTTACAATTCTTTGGTACACAGTGTACTTTGTGATCGGCGCACCACTATTCTGTGACTTCTTCCACTTTAGACTCACTTTCACATTTTTTGTCTCAACCGGTAAGTCGTTTATTAAGGCGGCTTCTGGAATACCTTAAAATATAAAGAAAGGGTATTATAAGCAAAACTGTCCACCGTGCACACTGCTTAAAATGTTACCTGCCTCAATATGTTTAGCAGAACATGATCAAAGTCAATTTGACCTCACAATCCCCCAAAAAAGAACTAAAAAAAAAACATCTAAATCGATCCACGCATAGCGTTTCGGATATGTTTTCAGTTTTTTATTCCTTTTGTTATCGATTTTGAGAGTGTATCGCGTGAGATGACATTAAGGGTCGGTCATATAAACGAAGTCTTACTTACGCGGTGGTTTAAGAAATGATTGGACATTTAGATCTCTTTCTTAGTGGGTTAATAAAAAAAGAATCTATTGAGTGCTTTTCCAGTCTAAGCTATGTGCTTTTTTTGAAATTGTTCATAAGAAATGGTGTTTTCGATAACAGCAATGAGCGAACTAAAAAAGGGCTTAGAACGAGGTTTCGTTGAACACGGGCTAGACTCCGTTTAAATAACTGGCCCTAAACGTTTCATAGAAATATTAAGACAGGCGTTTACCAAACGCGTACGTTGAACTAAAACTGCACAAAAAAACGCTGTATTTAAGATCAATAAGATCGTGGCAAACATTTATTAAACAACTAACCTATCTGTCCTACACGGACCGTCTTGGAAGCCAGGGTGAAACCATTTTCAGCTGTGCAGTTATATAGTCCAAAATCTACACTCGAATTCATTGTCAAGTTAACGGTGCTCTCAGTAGCTTTGACCGAACTAAAGTTGGTTCCATCAGGCTTGTACCAGGTGAGCGTTGGTATAGGAACGGCATCTGACTTGCAAGTCAACGTTACAGTGTGCCCAATACAGGACATTGGCGAGGAAGAAGTAAGGCCTTGTATGACGGCTGGGTCTGTCAATTATCATCGGAAAAATATGTTATTATTATCACATCGTCAAACCATTCTTACCACCTATGAGTGGTCTGGACTTTGTTAGGAATACCAATTCATTTTTTATCTATTTATTTATTTTAACATGCAAATAAGGCATTCAAGCGGGGGTATAAATTCACCGCCTATCCAGTATAGTGAAAGGAAATAAATGGGCACGAAAAAGGAACTTTTGACTAATTCGGAAGTCGTCTAACTGACACATTGTAGGGTAATAAAATGACTCACGCAGGATGTTTTTATCATAATTTATTAAAATGTGAATAAGGGCGTTCAGCTACTTTCGGTCTGTTATATAGTTATCACTGCTTTAGTTGCAGATGCAGGGAAGGATATTATCCTCTCCTGATATTCGGACAGGGTCTTGCTTTTCCATGAACCCAAGCATATTTCAACGTTCTTCTCAGACTCCCTTAGAACTTTCTTCTGGTATGTTGATGCTGCCGGTAGTAAACTCTACATCCGCCCCGGCCTCCTGCTGTTAAAGGCCTTAAGGGGATGGCGTACAGGAGAACGGATTGCCAAGTTAATTTCCTTTAGTTAGCCGAGTGACTTTCGAGTGATTGCCGGGCTAGTCCACACCAAGTCAACATTCAGGGTTTTACGATATCTGAGAAGATGCTGCCACCTACAAAGGGTTAGGCCCTCTGGTGTGCGAAGGTACGGTGTCAAAGAACTAACAGCTGTACTTATCTCTGGCAGTGACCACCCTTTGTCGGTGTTTATCTCCAAACAGCTAGCAGTCAACTCGAGGTCACGTTCGAATGTGTGGAGCAAGATTGGAGCTTACAAGAACAAAGTGTTAAGTAAAAACTTTTAAATCTGAATCTGAAGCAAGAACATTTATTTAGAACTGTAAACAATAGCGTCTAGTAGACCATAAGCTTAGAGACATTCTCTCCAGTCAAGCCCTGTACTCATTTCCTTTTAAACTCAGTGTTTTTTTACAGTGTGGCACTGTTGTAGAATAAATTCCTCAGCATATTAGAGCACTGATAACGCAGTCATATCAAATCTTTAATAAAGATATCAATCGTCTTTTATTCGTCTGATACCACCACAAGGAAAAAGAGAACACCAGGTTTTATGTTAAATCTCGGTAACTTGTGTTTCTATCACCGTGGCTAAAAAGAGTATACAACACGTCACTGTAGGTATAGGCTGGAGAAAAAATTGTATGTCTGGCAGGTGTCTGGTAGGTAAGACTATATCAAAGATGCTCGGGTACCAATGCTACTCCACTCCTTGAATTAGTTTCAATCCTGACATTATAAGTTGATATTTTGCGGATGCAATGTCGATCGACGAGAGCCAAGCAACAGCTAAAATCAAACTAAAGAGGAGGGTTATAAAACATTAGTAAGGTACAAAAAGAAAGAAAGACCCTGAGCTAAAACAACGAAAACATAGGTGTCCTAAAAAGCACGTCGACATGGGAAAAGAATGGCGTGACGTATTCCAACGAAGGCCAAAGTAGACCGATAAAGTTTTAAGTTCTACTCAGTAATATACTCACATTTAACGGTAACTTCAAATGTTTTTTCACCACTTCCTGCAGAGTTGTTGGCTCTACATATGTATATTCCTGCATCTGCCTTGCTTATAGAACTGAAGATGAGATAAGCCTTTTCAAATCCAGAACTCATAACTTGAGTGGTACTAATACTGATCCACACCACATCTGATTCTGGTGTCCCTGTCGCAATACAGCTTACATTGACGGGACTCCCTTGACTGTAGCTTATATTTGCTGTCACTGGATGTGTGATTCTTGGTATTTCTAATAGAATTCGAACACAGATGAGATGTTAACTCATTTAATGGCGCTTAGTTACAAGTTTCTGGCGGTAACAAAGACGGCTCGTTGGAGGGGCAAGAATGAGTTACTGTTAGAATTTTTTGCGATCAAAGTGTGGCTTGTGAATTTAATGGACCGGGGGAAGAGCTTCGCCTTGTGTAGTTTAAGTGCAATCAAATGAGGCCAAAACCATAAAATAATTATAACGCACTAAAAAGAGTTATATTTCATTACATTACATTACATTACAAAAAATTAAAGGAAAGCTTTAGCAGGAATATTTTTCCAAATACTTGATAATGACTCCCAACCGCTGTCACAAAACATGAATTAGCAATTAGAGATCATTGTCTAGAACATGACGACTATTCTGTAGCTATTTACCTCCAAGCAAAATTTCTACCGTAAAAAACAATGAAGTGGCAAAAATAAACGAAGACTGTTGATTCTGACAACAGCTAAGCTTTGTCTGTTATTAACCTGCATTTACCGATGTATAACCAGTAAACAGTTTTTTGTTTACAAATTTACAATGTCTTGTGCTTTTTTATTTAGCTAATAAGTTCATAAATTAGCTGTAACACTAAATCAAATGGTATTTCAAAACATAATGTTTTCAGATACTGAAGAATTGGCAATTCCCTTGGAAGGGTGTCCCCGAAAAAGCGGAAAACATTAATGCCTTCAAAGTTTTATTTGTCGGAAAGAAAACACGACGGCCGTTCGGTCAGTGCGCGCTTAAATATGTAATCGTCAGTAGCAATCACAATCATTATCGTTTTCATTTTTTGCGCTCAATTATTTCACTGTTGTAGTACCCACTTTAACAATTAGTTAAGTATGCGGCTCGGTAAACCACTTTGCTGAAGAATTTTTATTCATCTACAAAAAATGTATTTTGTTATACGTGAGATCTTCACGAAGAAAAAAAATTCTACCTTCATAGTACTCGATCGAAAATATCTGTATGAAGAAAGTGTACATCACCCTCAACAATCAGTCTGGCGTAATCAAATTGACCACTATCTTGTACATTGTTTGCATATAATTGACACCCATAAGTGTCTGTATCATTCAGCGTAATGCCACTGAGATTGAAGATGACTTGACCAGAGGATGAGTTACCAGCACGGCTTCCAGTCACTCGTCCAGTAAAACTTTGATGTACATATACCGTTTTTCCAAAGGTGTTTAGAAATAATATTCTCCCATTTTTCTCTATTGCTCTATTGTGGCTGCATTAGTTGCCTTGAAACCAAATTCAATTCCCGCAACGTCTCCTGAGAATCTCCAGGTGAAGTTCACAGACGAGTTAATCAGGCTTCTTACAGTTATTCCTTGATATGGTAAAATTAACTGTATTTTGCCAACTGAAAAAAAAAAGAAGGAAAACTCAGAATTTTTTTTTTTTTTTTTGGTGTCCCAGACTTCGAGTCAATTACACTGTAATTAAACTTTTGCAAGTGTTATTTACAAGTAAAGCCATTGTTTTAAGGTGTTTCGATATAGTTTTTCAGAGGCTATACTATCCTTGTCTGATCACTATAAAATTTTCACCAAAGATTGACTATAGATTGAAATTTGTCAAAATGTAGATTTTGGTAAAATCTATGTTACTATGACAACAATAAACCAAAAACTTTGAAACTGATAAACGCCTAATTTTGCGCGATATAGACCAGCTACTGAAAATCCAACACTAAGAACTTTTGGTGTTTAGCAAATAAGGCTCCGTAAGAAGCAAAAAATTCTGTATGTTTGAATTCGACTACAACGAAAATAAATATCAATCCTTAAATTTGCAATAGACATATGTTCATGACTAGTACATTTCAGTGTGAGTAGTGTTAATGCTTTACATTCAAAAGATGCGATAAATTCAAACTAAAATGTACTAGTCATGGAGATATGTACAGTGCGCATTATTTTGGAAATATGAGCATAACGTCAAAACAGTGAATGTTGTAACAAATATTTTTGGCACGTTCGTTAAAGTGAATCAATCTTAATAAAAGGTTCAGACATTATTATATACATTATGGAGATTATGTGAAGAGATTTTAAAAAAAAATTCGTGCGAGTCGTTTCGGAGATATACAAAAAAGCCCTAAAAGTTTAAATTTTGAATGAAGTTGCACTTAGACAGGTGGTGAGAAAACGGGTTTAGTTTTAAAGATCACAAGAACGAAAATACACCAAAATTTCCTAGCATAAAAATATGATATTAAGCGGCATTCTGCCGCTACTTAAGAATAATTTGAGTCATTTATAACGTTTTTATTAAACAATCTATCATGGCTATTGAAAATTTAAGATTTGAAATATATTTTCGTTTTAGTCGAATTCAAACACACAGAATTTTTTTACTTTTTACGCAGATTCTTGGCTAAACACAAACTTTGAGCTCTTAGTGTTGGATTTTCAGTAGCTGGTCTAGATCACAAAAAATTCGGCTTTTATCAATTTCAAAGTTTTTGTTTATTGTTGTCATAGTAATATCGATTTTACTTAAAACTACATTTTCACAAATTTTAATCCATAGCCAATTACTGCTGAAAATTTTATAGCGATCGAACAAGGAAAAAAACACTTTTAAGGCGATTGAAAAATATCGGTATGGCCTCTGGAAAACTGCATCGAAACACCTTTAAGTCTTAAAGCAATAACTACACTTGTAAGTTCTATAAAACTAACAACTGGAGTGAAAAAGGCTTGTTTGAAAAAAAAAGGTTAGGCTGACCAACTCAATGTATTAAAAACTGTCACATGCATGTTTAGAATTAAGAAAAAAAAATTTCTCCCTTTTTTCACTACCGTATTAAATTCCACTTTCAATGAATAAATTCTTTTCAATTGTTAAGAATATTAACCCGCTGAAGTACAAGAGGGGGGGCTGGTTGCCAACCCCCCCGAGGTTTTTCTGAGTTTTTTTTTTCCAAGAGGATAAAACATCAGCATCTGACGCTTTCAGTAACTGTTCGTTTATATCTCGCGCATTTTAAGACAAGTTCAGTGATGGTCAGTTTCTATGGTTACGAGATTAGACGTCATAAGTAGTAAGTAGTCAAACCATTTTTGAGTGAAAACACTTTTTTTTTCAACTTCTATCTAAAATAAAAGTAAATCTTGAGGCTACAATCATGCAAAGTGCCCCCCTTGTACCACGGTGGGGATATGAATTTGTATGCACGTCCGATGGTTAACTGATGAAACATTCGTTACACTGATGATGTTGACTGCTCCTTAAATGAGCTACGTATAAATATTTTTTTCTCGTATTTTTCTAATAATGATAATAATTAATATTTATCTCTTTTTGTGATGGCGTTTCATTTCAGTAATCACATATGCACCCAGCAACATTCATTTATTGCGGCCTGGACAGGGCAGCTACCTATTTTTGTCTTAAAAGCATCTGAGAACTCGATTTGTTGGGAAGTTTGTTTTGACATTTAGAGGTTTGTTTCGCTGTTTTACCAGTTTCCTGTCCCCACCGCGTAGCACCGTATCCATGCTAGCAAAGTGAAACGGCGGCCAAAAGTTTTTTATCCGCGAATTTGTAAGCGCTAGAAAGTGAAAATCTATGATTCTTTCTGAACGCGCTTTAAAAGGAAATGGCGATAAAAGTGTTAAAGAGTTTCTTAGCACTCTTGAACCTGCGACCTCTCGGTTGGACATCCGTGAGCGTTACGTATGGCAGTCGAGAGTCGGACGCGGGTGCGAGGGACAGTTTAATATTTTCTGTATAAGTATTTTGGGAAGGTAGCTACGTTTAAGTGAGGATTTGAGGGGAAGACAAAGTTCTTCATGCTCATTTCATGTGTTTCGCATCACTGTCGTTCCAGGGGCCTAACCAGTTATCAGCTGTGGATTATGCATGAACACAATCCAGGGAATCTTGTCACGAGGAGACAATTAGCTTCAAAGTGCCCTAATCAATCAACTCAGCAAAATCGGCTTTAGCAGATTACTTTCCTGTCGTAGTTCACTACTTTTCTTAACGAGGTGAATGCAGCAAAAGAGGCGAGCAAACTGAATCACAATTGAGGTTATAATTTGCCTCGGTAAAGAGGCAAATGAAAAAAGCGATTTGCTTACCCAGGTAGACAAACTGAATAAAGTGACTGGGACTGACTGACAAATTATTCGACGGACATAAGTATACGTATCTTTCGCTTGCCATCGTAAGCATCAGTGATACATTGGCTATGCTTAGTCTAATCTGGTTAGTTTTTAAAGGCGTACGAGCTTGTGCGTTTACGATTGTCGTATTCGTTGCTCGCGTGAGGACGAAAAGCCCTAAATGCATAATTAGGTTTATATGCCGTCCTACACAGACTCGATAGATAGCCTAAATAAAAGTAATAATATACACATACCTCCAAACGGAAGAAAGATCAGTACGAGTAGAATAAAATCCGCAAGGCTTCCAAACCAACATTTGATATACATTTGATATTCTTTGCAATCATGAGCAGTGAAAAAATATTTGCCATTAACTCCGACTCTCCAAAGACGAAGGTTGTACCGACGCAGATTGGAATCAAATTCCAGCTGAAGCACAAAGGTCAGTATAACTAAAATAACATCGTTGGCGGAAGTTAGCAGTCACATCATTAACTATGTCTTTCATTTCTTCAATTTTTAAATTAAATTATTATTATTTTATTTGTTTTTCTATCTAAAAATGTATTTTTTCCTCGCAAACTCCTCTATTTTCACTGGCATTTAAAACAAATGACATAAAGTTGGACGCTCTTTAAAAATATTCAATATTTGGTTTTGATTAGCATATTCGAAGCTTAAGTTGGTCATCTCTGAGGGTCGGGAGCGGACTCTCTCCTATCCCCACTCCTCCTCAAACGGCTGAAATTTCAGACTATAAGAGCTAAAGTGAATGGCTTTTGGTAGCTCTTTAGAGGTCTTAAGCTTTAAAATGACACGCCCTCATTTTTTTCTTTTTCTCCCTTTTTTTGTTCAAAAGCGATGGACAGTCGCTTAAAGCATTAAGTATTAAAAATATTTTTTGTGAATCAGAAAATGTAAAACCCTTTTTCTTTTAACTCCATCGCCATGTTTTCAAGTTATGTATGATTTTAAGAAAAAATAGTCACATTACATATCACGTGATTTACTGAAGACGACGAGGTCTTTCGGTCTTTCGAGCTGTATCCAAGTAATCATATCTTCTTGGTCACAAGCTACTTAAGGAACTAGCCACACCTTCTAAGGATGCTACAATTGGAAACTACGTTTAACTTCGCTCATTCGTACCATTTTCAGATATCTTAGATTGTTGGAAGGCGACGAAGAATGGCAGTTGTTAGATTTCCTTGTCCGCCTATTTATTTAGTGGTGGGGCATAGAATAATGTGTTGCGGCAAGAGCTCATTCTCTCTTGGTTGAGGACATGTACCTCGCCCGCTAATAAATGCAGTCTTAGCTTGAGCCATTGTTGGCTAAAGTGCTTGTTTTGCCAGGCTCTCTTTGTCCGTTATTCAATTGTTAGGGACCGGAAACAGTGTAGTAGACTGTATCTTAGATCCTAAATAGCAGAATTCTTGGACCACTTCGTGGAGCGTTTCCATCCAGTTTACATCGGTAATACCGGTGGCTAGTTTTAAAAAGAATAGCGAGTTTTGTTAACGCCGATGATAACAGCGGATGCCAAAGAAGTTTCATTAAGCATCAGCGGCAAATAAAAACTCACGTATGGCCAATTAACTTGCTTAATTACTTTTTTTCGCAAGCTTTTAACTAGATTGAAGACCGAGTCACCTCTCTAACTGGAGGAAACCAATAACCGGGAAAAAGAAAACAGCGAAATAGGGGCGGGGGCAATGACATATCTGCACCTCTTAACTCTTATTTGGAACCTTGTGTATTTGAAACCCAAACATGGTTCACATCAGGAGCCTATAGGCTTCTGCTCACATCTCATCTTTAAGAGACTCTTTGAACGTCACCAAGGATCAGAGGGACAGCTAATTGCTTTAATGGCTTTCAGCACTTTATATCATCTTGATCTGCTCGCGATGTCAAAAGCTTTTGTTGAATCAACATAGGGGAAACGTGGCCTTTGCTGTTCGCAACTTTCGCATCCGGTTGAAGGAGAGCCCGGGGTGTACTCCCACAGATTTTGTAAAGGTGTTTGCTGTCCAGGGTCTTAAACCCGACTCTATTTAAGGTACTGAAAGTGTATACCCAATTTAAGGCCCGAACCTGAAACTGACACCCTATTCCAGGTGGGCAGAGAGGGACGAATAAGGTTTTAATAGCAACACACAAACCTTCATTAAATTACTTTCCCAATATGGCTCAGTTTTTCACAGATAAAGATTGATTTTGTTCATCGTGTCGCTGGCATTTACGCCTTGAATTTTGGCTGATACAATTTAGGTAACCAATCTAAGGAACACAACAGAAACACAATGTAAAAATGGGCCATACCCTATCGGGCAGTACATACCTATGTAGCTATATATGGGAGTATCCCCCCTGAGACGGGGTTAAAATATCTTGTTAAATATTGACCTCTTCGAGCAAAATCCACATTGACTTTCATGACGTACTGCGTCCGACAGCCGGCTCTGTAAGATGAGGCGAGCGATACGGCCTCGTTGGTTATATGTATCAGCTCATATCCTGCGCGTCCTCGAAGAATAACTGTTAAATATCATGCGAAAACCGAATTCAATAACTGTTTTATTATACATTTTTTTTTACAATAGGCAAAAGAAGACATTCATCTGTTGAAAAATGGCTTTATTTCAAAACTAAGGTGAAAGTGACACTGATAAAGCAACCAAGATCATTTAAAAATTTTAAAATACAATAATAAAACCTTTGTCTGAATAAAGTATACATTAAAATAGAAAAATCCTTATAATTCATCCTCAGAAACAGAAGCGAAGCGTTCAGCCATTCTGTTTCTGAGGAGAACACTCCAAGGGGCTTGGTAACCAGGCAGACGTTGAACTTGACATGATAAATGCAATATCTGCAGCAGATATTGCATTTATCATGTCAAGTTCACAAGCTATTGTGAATTGATTGAATGCTCTCGACCAATCAGATTTTTCATAGTGAGTCTGATGTATAATAATATATAGTTGCTGTAATGCCAATTATCTTCTCCAATCTTAAAACCGAAGATGCAGCTTCTGGGTTAGATAAAAACAGTTAACTACTTTCGTGTGCTTGGCTTTGTTTCAAAATACTAAAATAAATGGTATTAAGAAAGAAAAATAAGTAATGATGGTAATACAGTTTTGTTATAACGTTACTATGAAAGGTTTGAACCCAGAAGTTATTTCGAAAGTAGGTTGAGTTTGATCGTCCGGGTGAAAGTAGTCCTGAATAGGACTATGTTGTTGACAGTGACTGACGTTTCAATAACCTGTTCGGTAGTCATCTTCAGAGTCAAAGTAAGGTAACATAAGTACTAAATCAACAATAATAAGTGATAACAAGTATATACTTACATTTTATTGCTGCTTTTAATTGCTTTTATGCAGTTCCTGCAGAATTGTTCGCTTTGCGCGGATACACTCCTGCATCTCAAGAGTGATTTGCTTATTGTCTTAAAGGTTAACTCAGCTGTTTTATTAACACAGCTCTTCACTTGTATTGACCATTATGGATTCAACTTACGTCTGGTCCTGGTTTGGCCATATCTTCACACCTGATATTAACAGCCTTACTTTCATCGTAACTTAATTCGGCGGAATTTGGAGAAATGATTCTTGGTCTCTCTACAAATGTGAGGGTAACTGGAAGAATGTGGGGGTAATTATATGTATAAGAACACGTACACGGAAGATTGATTCTATCAGTCTATGTGACCTTATAAGCCCGTCCACACGTAGGTTAATCAGTATTGTCGTTTCATATAGCTTGCGAACGGCAAACGTTTCAACTCGCTCATCGCCGCTAAGTGGCCAGCGATGAGCGAGGAGAAACGTCTGCCGTTTGCAGGCTACTCGTTTCATAGTTAGCCACACGTTTCCGATTAAAACAATGAAAAAGAAACAACATAATATATCGAAACTCGGAGCATCTCCAGTCTTACGAAAAAAAAGCAATTTGTAACACGTGACCAAATATTATCTTTACAAAACGTTTACTGCCGGTATTATTTCAACCAAAAATAGTAGTTTTACGCCCGATTCATCCAAAAGAGTTAGTTTGCACAATTTTTACCAGTTCAGTTACATAGTTACCCTATGTTGAGAAATAATCAAATTGAATCTGATGTTTGTGATGTTTGCTGTTTGCCGTAAACGTAGTTCTAGATCTCTCAAGGCTCTACTATTTCGAAATGTGATTCCTTCATGAAAAAAATTAAATCTGGTTTTGAAACCTCTACGCAGGAGGAATACACCGCACTTTCAACAACGAAGGCGACGGAGTCAAAGCTTGGTGTATCAAAAGGATTATTTTTATCACTAATCCTGCAGTCATTATGATAATCTTTTCATTACTTTTAGCTATAGTCAGCGAGATCGAGGTGGAGTAACAAAATCACCAGCACTGGCGTCTAATCCTCAATCAATTGTAGTAAAGCACGTTTGCCAAAAACAACCGTTCATTTTTACACTGTAAAACAATTATGGCTTACAATAGGTTAAAAACTGGATTTTCTACTGAAAGAATAAATCGTTCGCCTTAGGACGAAAAGCCGTAAATACATAGATTTGTATGCGTCACTCGACCTTAACAGACTCTTGTACAGCAATGATAGCCTACATAAAACTGAGTTGTAATATATATCTACATATCTCCATAAGGAGAAAATAGCAGTAAGTAAAAATACACTCCGTAAACCTTCGGCCAAACCAACATTTAGAACGCATCTCATATTAGCTGGAAGCGCTTAGCCAGTCGAAAATTATTTGCCAGTAAACGAGGGCTCCGACTCACAAAAAGCGAAAGTTACACCGACCGCAGTGACAGTTTGGAATCAGCTTTCAGCTGAAGCAAAAAGGTATCAATAGAACAGCAATAACGTATTTAGCGGAAGTCAATAGTCCCATCGTGGTTTGGGTAAATATTGACATTTTACTACGTATACCTCCTTTACAGTCAGTTTCCTGTATAGCATATATAACGAACAGAAACAGGTTAATATGTGATTTAGGACCGTATCAGGCGGTTGTGGTTTATAAGGGAACAATTGTCCCTGATAAAATAGAAATAGGCTCTAATGACAAAGATTTTGTCATTTGTCAATCTCAAGGGGTTTAACGCCTGGGTCAAAGGCGTGTTCAGAGCATATAACTGAATGACTAGGAGCCCTAAAACAAAATGAAATTTTCCACAATGGATCTTGAGGATCAGTGGATCTTGAGGTCTTCTTCCGCCTTAACGTTTAATTATGGTCACGGGACATGCCACCTGACCAAGAATTAAAAAAGGAGGTACTTGGCGAATTGGTGGTAACTTTCTACGTCTGGGATCAATGTACACGAAGTTTGAAATTAAAGTTTATAAACATTCAAGATTAAATTAGGGTATTTAGAATGATGTTTTCCCTCATAATTTTTTATTGAAGTGCGGACAGTCATTCCAAACGTGAAGTGTAAGAGACATTTATATATGAATGAGAAAAATGTTATCGCTTGATTTCTTTTTTTAAACCCTCCACCAATTTGTCAATTATGTAAGAGTTTTAGCAAAATGGTCGCATGACATATCACGTGACTCTTTAACACAATATTTATACTTTAAAATGTTAAGGACGATGAGTTCTTTACGTGTGGCAAATTTTGGGGTCCCGGTGAAATGATCAAGTACTCTTTGTATTTGTTTCCTCTGTTAAAGGAACATCTCTATTCAGGGGAAAGGAACACTTTTTCGGGGTCGGGAAACCCAATTTTGACCTCCTTTCAGGGGACACCCTGGCACTCAATATTCACCAGTCAAAATGGCTACAGCTTTTAAGACATGAACTACGTATCTCGCTAAAGTCGATGTACTAAACTTGTGGGAATTCATACACAGCATTGCAGACGTAATTAAATCATGATGTTTTTTTCAAAGTTATCTACCTGCTTGAAATAATGACTGCTGCAGATTCCCAGGCAGAATAAAAATAGATATATTTTTTCTTTGTTGGTTAATTCAATTAGATCAAATTTTCTTCATGATAAAAGAGAAAATATAAAAGAGGGGAAACAGGAAACACACGTGTAAAAAAGATACCATTGTCGGTGTGGCAGTGATTAATATACAGTGTTTATTATATAGCCATGTCTCAAAAGGACTGGAAACGAACAAATTCAAGAATTTGATTGGCTAAAATCGATCTTGACCGCGGTCTAGATTCTCCCATCTAGACCGGCATCTAGACCGATCTTGTCGTAACAGTTGTCCTCAAAAAGTTACAAACAAAGAATATGAAAAAATTGGCTAATTCCTGTTAATAATACTAAATGGAAGAATCAGTGGACCTTCACGAAGAAGCAGGTAAAGAAAACGAGCAAACGTTGGCAAATTTGAGTCCTGCCGAGGAAGCTACGAGCAAAGATTAAGTCGAAATTGAGAAATTTTTGCAGGAGCAGACTAAGAACAATTTAAACGCATGGAAGAAATGTTGTGAGTCACTGAAAAAGTCCAGAGCAATTGAAAACATACCTGCCAATGTGCTCGACCTTCTTTTGTCTAAATTTTTCATCTCCGTTCGTAAACAAAATGGCACTGAGTACGAGCCGGGTATTTTTAAGTGGCTTCCAGCGAAGTTTTCAACGCTATACTTGCATTAAAAAGAAAGTCAGCCAAACTCGATGACATAAACAAGAGAAGCTTTCTATTCACTCCGTTAGAAAGACCAGCCAGTGTTGGACGACGTCTCGAAGCAGACGCTCAGCCAAACTTCGTTGCACAGCTAAGCGGTCACAAAAATTTGTACCATTCCGTATCTCTGAAGCGACAGCGAGAAATGTCTGCTATCATGAATCGTGAGCCAGGTACAATAACATCCGCTTAGTCTGAAGAAAACCAAGTCAGTACCTCCACTAAAACACAGCAAAATGTCTTCACAGTCCAACAAATCCAGCCTCAGGCAATTTTTGCTGGAGCGCATATTGACAAGTTCGAAGGCTGCACATTTACCATCAACGTTTTCTGTGTGGTGATCAGTCCAAGATCGCAAGGCTGAATGAGAACTAATCGCTGAGCGATAGAGGCACAAACCGGCATTACTTACATTGCATTTGCACTTTTGGTCACTTTTCATAAATTGTTGTTTCAACCACAAGCTTTTTCATTGAGCCTGTATGAAAAATTTTGTCTTCAT